GTCATGAAAGTGCTCTCTAATTACGTTACCACATCAACAATATCTTTGTTACGTGAACGTGTACACTATAATACATTGAACAACTTCTGCTGTGTGATGAAAGTGATTAGTTGATACCTCAGTATCACATAACGTAGGGTTAGATAACATTTATTGCTGGGATAAACTAGGTTAAAATGTATACCATAATAACATAGCCACATTTTAGAACGACTCTGACTGGGATTTGAACTTGTAACCCCCGTCTTAAAAGCCGGCAGATTAACCAACTGCGCCACCCGGGTGATTGCATAATTACACGCGTTTTAAAAAAAATGTGTCTCAATTTTTGCTTAAATACAGCTCCAAAAATCCCTCATACACTACTGGCGGCGTGTACAAGTCCTCGCCTCACTTAATATAATCTATTGATATCATGTTACATTTTTACATGACATGAACCATGAAGTTACTGTGGTAGTGGCTGTTCAAATTCATGCTTCAAAACGCACACAAAACAGGTGATTTTCTCCGATCAGCTGATCCAACAAAGGAACCAATCAGTGAACAGGAAACTGAGTGAAACTAGCAAATGACAGTGTGAACTAGCCAATGAGATTAGATCTGTCGCACGGAAGCGCACGAAATACACCGCCTAGCTGCTGTACAGTGTATTCTGGTAAATAGTTCATAGGGCGGGGGCACACTGTCCAATCAGGTTTTAGCATTCAAAACACAGCAGCCAATGAAATCAGCGGGCCAAGCCAACAAAATTGAAATGAATGAGCTAAAGTCGTTGTCATGGTAACTGAAATTAGATAATGCTGAATAAGAGCGGATTGGAACGGCAGTTATTACCATACAATTACTAATTAATTATGAGTAATTCCATTACACTGTTGTGAAAAATACCACATCAATGAAACAGACTGATTAACAGACGGATTGTGCATATTGATGAAGTACACAATCAAATTTACTTAAATACGATCAGGCAGTTTATGTTACGGTTACTAGAATTATAAGAATTACAAGAATTATAAGGACGTGAATTGTGTGTATTAGCGTGTAGGATTTCAACGTAAAACAGGAACATAACGCCAACATGCTACATTTAAATGTTCAATGTTAATAGTGTTGAACTTTAGTAACATAAACCAAGCTTCAATGATATGCCGAGAAAAATAAGCTTACAATTTTGGAATTCCAATCCATAAATGGCGAGGAAACTGTAGATCCAAACTCTCGATAAATTGATATGACCCTAGCAAAGGTTAATACACAACACGATAAAATGTTGATCAGCGAATGATTAAACCATATACAGATAATTAACCCTTCCGCTTTTAAATGATTTTGTTGATAAAACCAAACCACAAATATCGATTGGCATTTACATGCAAAATTAGAAAATATTCACAAACATAGTTTAAAAAGCCGCCCAACGATACCAAACAAGTTGACAAATTTAATCAGGACAGATTAATTAAGAACGAAAAATATGCAGCACTGCTAGGAAATAAAAGCCACGCAATGCTGATCTATTATTAGAATACTCAACGAAATGTACCCGTCAATAATGAGGAACTCTGGGCACGCCAATATTGTAAAGCACATACTTAGCAGATAGTTAGCGGCTATCTGATATACACAGAATCACATTTGTGTAGTGTGTAGCCCTCCCTTTACATTTGTGTAGTGTGTAGCCCTCCCTTTACATTTGTGTAGTGTGTAGCCCTCCCTTTACATTTGTGTAGTGTGTAGCCCTCCCTTTACATTGGATATATACATTATTAAACACTTTATCTGTGTGTAAATATAACAGCGAGGAATGTGGGATATGGGAACCTATTACCTACAATCTACATGCACAATTATCAAACAGGAAGTCACAAATTTAACGTGCATTTTTTATCTCAGCATAGTTGCGAAGACGAAACCTACAGCTCAAAACTCACAAATATTCACAACATACCGACGTCCAACATTCCTGGGCCAAATATAAGTGTCACAAATAAGTGTCAGCTCCCTCCCTCATATTGGATACACATAATAACACACTGCAATAACGATAATATCGAGAGCTACGGTACGTCTAACATAATATTATTAACACATAATATTCTGAGTTGTACATGTGATGTTATTGAGGGGGGAGATAGCAGCCCGGCCAACACAGACACACTCTGATATTATATATCTGGTACAGTGATCACGTGGTATTACAAGTGATCAAGTGGGATTACAAGTGATCACGTGGTATTACAAATGATCACGTGGTATTTCAAGTGATCACGTGGTATTACAAGTGATCACGTGGTATTACAAGTGATCACGTGGTATTTCAAGTGATCACGTGGTATTACAAGTGATCACGTGGTATTACAAGTGATCACGTGGTATTTCAAGTGATCACGTGGTATTACAAGTGATCACGTGGTATTACAAGTGATCACGTGGTATTTCAAGTGATCACGTGGTATTACAAGTGATCACGTGGTATTACAAGTGATCACGTGGTATTTCAAGTGATCACGTGGTATTACAAGTGATCACGTGGTATTTCAAGTGATCACGTGGTATTACAAGTGATCACGTGGTATTACAAGTGATCACGTGGTATTTCAAGTGATCACGTGGTATTACAAGTGATCACGTGGTATTACAAGTGATCACGTGGTATTTCAAGTGATCACGTGGTCTTTTAGATATCAGGTAGTCACGTGTCTGTTTATTGGGCACCACGTACCAAGCAAATGTCGCCCCAGTGGCTTAAGATCGCCCCGCATGCAGAAGGTCCGGGTTCGAATTAGGTCTCGAGCACTATTTTTCATCCGAACTGTAACAATGTATTGCAAAAATCTAATTACTCAAACATGATCCATGTCGGTAAATTGCTTGCCTGGTCTATGAAAGTTTATCTGTTCGACATTTGGTTGCCGAACATTTTTTATCAGCGCCAAAATCTCATTAAACTGCAGGTGAGAGGTGTTCTAGCGAAATTGTAACATTCCCGCACGGACCTAACTTATCCGCCATTTCGTATCTGAACATTCGCTTACAAAATTAAAATTCTGAGAAGAAAACATCTACTGTAAATATTAGTAAAACGAGCACTACAACATATTGTTAGAGGACCGGGAGAGTAAGTAAAGTGAAGTGGTTATCTTTATATACGCTAGAATGTAGAATGTAGATTCATTAACTTAATCTTATAAATCAATTTACCTCAGATCTAATTACATTTTGCTAAAAATAGAAAATAATGTCAAAAGCAAAAGATGTCATAAAGATATCAACATCAAAAGATGTCAAAAGCAAAAGATGTCAATATTATTGACATCTTTTGCTTTTGAAATCTTTTGATGGTGACAATGTGTCTAAGTCTGGGAATAAGATTCAACTGACAAAAGTAGATGGTCTTGAAGGAGTCTACAAGAATATCTCATAAAGCTGTCATCTGAATAATACATATTATATAGATTGCATATATATGATCCCTAAATTAACTGAATATAATAAAACTCACTTTGCTAGCTCAGTAAAAAGCAATGATTATAACGATCCTCACAATGCAGTATACACCACTTTAACACAGCTTAACAAACTATCCTAACTAAAGGTATCCCGCTAATGTTTAACTATTGTTATCACAAGACATGTCAAAGCGGGCCAAAGAGAACTTAATCACACTTATTTGTTTATCAAGTTGAGGGTATTCAAGCTCCATCAACAATGAATTATGTAGCTAACGTTAGGATTTAGCAACGTCAACAGATGGTTCAGGGGATGAATATTTGAAAAGTTGCTTTTTTAACATTCCTCCCTTTTTTAACTGGATGTTGTAGTTATAAAATGGAAATTTCTGTTTTCCTAAAGTTCTGCAACTAAGTGACCATAGGAGAATGCATATACTATTACTATTCTGTGAAATTGATGTCAATTATGATCATTTCGTCATCAGTCTCAAGGTAAAATTAGATATTTATGTTTCAATATAAATTTGAACTCTGCAGATTCATGACGATGTAGACTATTGAAACTAATTTCGAAGAATAATAGTATCCATTGCATTGTTCAATCACTTAGTTGCAGAACGTTAGTAAAAGCGAAAGTTTCAACAATTTGGCAACATCAATGAAACCGCAACCACTGTAATTCTATACACCGCCTGTCAATAGATTAAACAATTATAGGCTTGATATTTTGCAACAAGGTTACCGTTCTAAAGGGCTTTACCGGGTACTGAGTCCGTTAAATTAGTTAGATTGTGACAAATAAAACCCTATTAAGAAATATGATTGCTAAATCGCTATCACGTGTTAACTAAAATATAGTTAATGTCCCCACAACTATCCAGTAGTAGTATAGTATAGTATCCTAATACAGATCTATTAATAATAGATTAAAAGTGCCAGGTGTCCAACAAAAGCTGGAAATATAGTGCAGCATCAGCTCCAATCTTCAGTAGAACTAGACAGCGATATCAACAGGGTGATTTTAGTGCCTGAGTCACTCATACAGAAAATAAAATATAGCTGTTTCTACAGAATTTACAGTGCATGTCTACTCTAAGTTATAGAATCAATTCCGCCACTGCTATTACACTCATGGCCACTGCAGTTGACAAGTCGAGTGATGAGAGGTGGATTATGGTGGACCTCAATCAAGTTACCATGACAACTACACTAGATACCAATCAAGGGGGTTGTTGAAACATGATAGGGCTCTCTTTTAATGCTCTTGCAGATGTCTAACAAGGCTGCCATCAATACTCAAGAGTCAAATCTCCAAACAAGACACACACACTTTCACAAGACACACTTTCACAGAGAAAATGGCAACATCACATCTCCTTGAATTTACAGCGGCTTCAGCAAACAAGCTTCCAATGTTCCTTCTGACAGAGTAGGGAACGTACAACTACACAAGTGCTGGGAAGTGCCGCAGAGTGCCGGGCTAGACTAATACAATAATTACCCGGCCTTCTTACTCTGTATTATATTACAAAACTACAAATCTATTACATTTATTGAGAAAATTATGTAATGTAACGCGATAGAAGTTCTTTAAGCGGGCAATTCCAGTCCAAACCCTGGATACATGACATAAAAGATTCGTTTTCACTTGTTTGCATGAAAAGCATTAATACAGATATAGCTATTTTATTAGGGCTGCTGGTCGATAACTAGCTGTGTGTGATACGTTTACTGATGATGAGGAATTCTTTAAAATGCTTCCTTGATAGGGGGGGGGGGGGGGGTCCCCCCTTGATAATGCCTCCGTAATATTATATAATATGTGATTTCTTGTAATGTGCTTACCGCGTTACAGAGCTCCACATATCACGACATGACTACCTGGGAGAGAGTAATTTTATTAAAATATATTTTAAATTGAATGTATTTATTTATTTTAATTCACCTTAATTAAAAGTAGCGTAAAATTGGAAGTTAATCAAAAATCAAGCGTCTTATTAAACTATAACCGTTTTCTATTTAACTACCACAACACACCGTAAACTACCACAAACAAAACCATATAATCTGCAACAGGAGCAATGAAATTGATACTATTTATGTTTTGAAGATGGCATTCGAGAATATTTCCCTGCAGTGAATGACACGTACACCTAAATTATAAATACCTGATGATCAAACAGGCATGCTGTATTCTCAAGAATTAAACGCAATCCAGAATAAATTAAACGATCCTTCAACACAAGACTGACAATTAAAAACTTCCCGGTACACAAGTCAACTGCTAATTGAAGGACAACAGACTAATAAATTAAATTAAATTAACAAGCACTTTAAATCAGCCTATCAAGTAAAAGTTGTGGTCACCCTGAATTATTGAAAAAGACATTAAAATTTTAAAAAGAGTATCAGTTTGATATCGGATATTTTTTAGTTTATCTGTTGTTCTAAAAGCATATAAAAGAATTAAAGGAAGAAAATGTGAGAGAAGCCAGAGGAGAAAAAGTTCTAGTCATGATGCTGGAGGTTCACTATCCTTGGCCCCAGATTCCTCGACTTTTCCGTTCTCAGCTGCACAGTTTTCCTGGTTATTATCCTCAGTTGCCCCACTCACAGCTTCCTCTTGCCCTGCTTCCTTCTTGGAGTTAGGATCCTTACCAAGATGGCACATGTTGAGACCCTGCCTGTTTCTCGCTACCTCTATCGCTAGAAACTGCACTCTAGGCACAAGAGTGGTGTTAGCCTCAGAATACCCATCCTTACAGTCCAACCTGAGCAATGTACCAAAGTTATAATCCTCCACGTGGTACTCAAACATCCGGCAGAAACTCCTCCACCGTCTCTTAGCAGCTTCACTCTTCAGTTTGTCCACGTCTATCACATCTATCTTCACACGGGGGAAAGTAACCATGTAATTCTGATACAATTCTTCGTCAAATTTAGAGAGTTTTAACTTGGTGCAGTTTATACTACAGATTAGCTTATAGTAGACTTGGGCGTGTCTGAACGCTTTCTCCGCCCAGAGTTCTTCCACCCCAGTGTCATTGTTGTATTTGGTTGCATCTAACTTCTGGAGCTCCTTTTTCCTCGTTTCCAGTTGCTTCACTGTAGGATTTAGGACGCTCAACGACATGACCTCTCTACGGAAAATTTGACGGATGAGAATTTCAGCATGTTCTAGAAATTTGATCAAGTATTAGTATTAGGTCATACTTACACAAGGGATATATTATGTCATGCTGTTGTGTGTAGTCAGTGCGTTAGAACTACTATATATGTGCAAAAATAACGCTATTGTATTAACTGAAATGATCTGCAGAGTGCACAGCTCTAAGACAATTCAAGAAAACAAAAAACAATGGCGCGACGTCATGGTACAAGGCCATCTGATGATCTCTCTTTCAGTAAGAAAAGATCTTCAAAACAAATGATATTCGCGATAGGGTGGTCCCTTTAAGAAAGAAAAGAACTTCTAAATATCTAAAATTCGAAAAAAGGTTTTAATGCGATTTTGATGTCAGAATTGTGAATTCTCATGCAATATGATATATAAACCGATTTTTAAAAATCAAGCTTTATACAGCATAATTATAATTTATAGTCAACATAAATCTCTTCCCCCTTAGGCTTAATAAATATATGAATTGAATATGTCTGGCGAAATCAGAACTAAAACAACGAACATACAAACGTCGATTAAAAAAATGTAAAGGTTGATTCAAATTTCTTGGCAAGGATCGTGTCGGGAGTTGTAATGACTTCCTTTACTGCTATTTCTATATTTAAGTTAACGATTCAGTCAATTATAAAAGCAGACAAGATACTTAAACCGGGCAAACTGTTCCCGTACATTTATTTTCTGAATATTAACTGTTTCTCAAGCCTCCACCACTTTTTTCAACTCACATAGAATCTTAGAATGAACTTCCAAGTAATCCAGCCCATCGACAGTCAACTCCTTCTGTCCTGTGCACCCGTCCCTAAATCCTAACTCTGTCAACCACTTGTGAAGTTGTAAATCTTGCTCAGAACTCAGGAGGAACTCATTGATTGGGCGGGGCTTGTGAGCACCGATAGCTTTACGTCGGTACCGATCATGAACAGGACAAGCTTGAAGAGCGTAGAGCCCTGCTGCTATTGCTAGTCCACCCCAGTTTGACACCCCGCACGACACAAGATAATCAGCAGATACATCAGCTGCTATTGTCTGGCCCTGGGGTATGTTCTTTATGACACTCTCCCTCACCTTTCCCATCCCTAGCTCATTGCCCCCGTCGCCAACACCTATTGTGGTTATACTAGGCTCCTTTTGAGCCTGCCGGAATATCTCAGCCATGGCGCCCACCTTGTGACTCACGTCACGTCCCCGCATGGTGTAATATTTGCCATCTGCAGCAGGGCTGGGACGCTCGATCGCTATTAGATGTGTGAATTGCCCCTCAGCAATCTCAGACAGTCCAGTAGTGGTTCCCCCCACGGGGATAAAAGGATTATTTTCGTGGGTGTACCCTAGACTCTTACAAATTCCTAGGCATTTAGCCAAGCCATTAGCACTGGAGTCAATAATAAAGTAAACCTCGATATCCAGGGCATTAAGCGCTCTTGCTAGATATATAGCCCCAGCAATTCCATCATTCTCCTCAGGAGGGTCTGAGTCAAACAGAGGGAAACCCAGCAGAATGCCAACAGTTTTGGCTCTGTTAGAAAGGTCAAGACAGACTTTAGCAAACTCACCCGGAATCACAAGGTGTTCTAATCCTCTGTTTCCAGGATCAACTGTTATAGCTGACTCTATAGCTGACAACTGGGATAGAGTGCGTTGAGATACAGATACATATCTCTGTCTTGCGGGATCAGTACATACTACTGAAGGTTTGGGGTATAAAGTAGAGTCGACCATCTTAGGGACATTTTCCGAGAGCACGTCAGAAACAAACATATTACCAGGAGAGTGACAGAAGGATTTCGGGAGTTTGGCAGATCTCAGCGCTACGTTTCCGGTAACTCCACATGGCCAGAAACATGGCACAGTGCCAGGTGGGATAACTCCTTCACTGCCAAAATCTTTCTTTAATACCCCCGGTTTAATGTAACTAATCCCAATATCCTCAGGGTTACCCATGTGGATGGGAGCTCCGTGAGCAAAGTCCATGTTCACAGACAGCTCAACTGCTTTCTCTAGCAAATTCACAGGAATACACCTCATTGATACGGCCATGTTACAGTTAAAAGGGCCTGATGGGACACACGGGATGTTGGTAATGAACATAGAAACATTACCTGATTTAGCAGACTCCAATTCAATGCCGTTACTCACTAATTTAGAATCGAAGGAGAAACTACAGCCAAGGTGGAAGGACACGAAATCATCCCAGGGGTGATGTAGAAGGTCAGGAACTGGTTCAGGTTGTGGAACTCCATTCTCGAACTCCTGATAAGCTGGTATATCTGTTCTTATATCCGAGTCATCAGCTAATGCCGGTGCGTCTGTTTGTCCCGGGGCACTCTGGAATATCAAGGGACAGGGGCCAGGGTTCTGTTCGCAAAATATACGAAAGTCCTCAGCGTACTCAGAGGGAACTATTGACAAGTTTGTCTGTAAATATCCTGGATAGGCACCAAATGTGGAACGTTTAAAATCGTTTCCTTTGCGATAATTCCTTCTACCATCGACAGGGTGCAGGTGGGACAGCATTTTGTGCGATGCTGAACTAATTGAGTAAAGGTGAAGATGTCGAAATTCGAAAACACTGATCGGTACTGTCGAAGAAATTTCTGTAACATTAATCTACGTATGGTTATCCCATCAGTCCCCAAATTTCACAAAACTTCAAAAACCTTTCCCAACCATTCAACACTTACATGAAAGTTTAAACAAAACATGTTTACGGTAAACAAAATGTTTACCAAAACAAAACTGCCGAGAGAAGGTGAACACAGTACAATGATACATTGAATACGGTCGGCTATATAACTGAGTAGCTGTGAGCTGAGGCGGTCTGTGCATGACAAATAATGAGTGTTATATAAACGTGCACGATAGACCAAGCCGCGTCACGATCATGTCGTGTATTGTTTATGTTTACATTTTAAAACAGTCCCATTCGAGTGATGTACGGTATATTACTGTAGTGTAGTGAGTGATGTAAGAGTTAAGTTAAGGGAGTTAGTAAGAGTAAGAGTGTAAATTTGACGGTGAGTTGATTAGATATTTGTTGAGAATGTGGAACATTATTTAAGTACAATGGAAACTGTTATTTAAATGATCGAACGTTCTCGAACTAAATGTACACGGAAGTCCAACAATTATTATCAACTGGATACAATAAAATTGCATATTTTCGACAAATTGAACTCTCAAATGTAACAACCTTTTATTTGTAAAGACAACCGAAAAAGAAAGACCAAAGCTGAAAATGTCCATCGTGGTAATTTTTGGTTATCCACATATTCTGTGGTGTGACCACGCACGATGATATTAGCAGAGGAAGAAAATCAAGCATTATTCGGAGTAATAAGACTGAAGTTAAGTTTAAGTATAAGATGAAGATTGAAATCATATAAAATCAGACTGACGAAAAATCAGAGAAGACTTTTGATGTCAAATTTAAGAGATGCGATCAAATAAAAACCATTTTGTTTCTTGTCATTCAATATGAAATTAATTTGAGTAAAGGATACGTCAAAGACTTTAAAAACACTGACTGGCGGTAAAATATAACACGTTGATGAGAGTGACCTTTCTAGAAACTCACAACATCTTCTCCATGGAGCTGGGAGTATCGACGACATCATCACTTAGTGACAGAAGAAACAAGCACAGAAAGTAATGAAGTTTTGTGGGATAGTTTGTCAATGTATATCAGAAGGGTTATTGTGGCTGTACACTAAATCCAAACACGAATCAGGACTGTGAAAAGATACCTCAGGGTGTAAAGGTAACGACATTGGTGTGGCCGATTAACATTCGTAAAGACATTGTATCCAATGCGAAATTAACAATTTATTCTATAGAGCGCGCGGCGTTGGTCATCAGTTTTACTGAAATTGCGCGTCATTATAATTTGTCAGACATTACCCAACTTAGCATCTGCTCGGTAACATTGTAAACACACTGATATAAAATTGATTAAAAAACCGTATTTAAAATTAAAACCAGCAAAATGAAGAATTTAAAAATATAATTTGTGATCGTGATTTTGAAATTCATTTTATGCAAAACTAAAAATTATTAATAAATCATGCACACAAACAACAAATTCGTACAATTTAATGAAAATAAATTTAAATCGAAAATTGCATGTTTTGATTTACAAAATTTAATTTAATAAATTATTTAAGTATTAATGCTTTCAGAGTTCTAGAAGTGTATCCCATTTTTTGCGCGCCGCGCATTTTTTAAAATTTTGAAAAATCGAGCGTTAGTTTAAACTTTTCATTTAATGTGATTTCGTGACTCCTAACCGTTTTCAAACAGTTTAATGTCCGACGTCTTGACCTGCAAAACTCTTCCTTCAACCTCATCCCTCAGAAAACGAGCTTTGAGGTCTCCTAGATTTGTTTATTTAAATTTTGTAGATATTTTACTGTACTATTTTATATTGTATACAATTTTACGGACGAAATTATCCTAGGGGAGACTCCAAACCCACCGCTTCGGCGGGTGGTTGATGCACTGTTCACAAGCAAGAGCCACTTTGGTCTACTTGCTGTGAGGTGTCTCAGCTACATGGGTTGGGGGTCCCCCTTTTAAAAGAAAAGAAAAGAAAAAGGTTTTATGTCCGACTGTGTAGAAGATAGCCGTTAGGACGTTCTTATTCAAACAAAAACGGCAAAACTCTGAACACTTGGTTCGGTATAGGTGTAGATATCACCCGTTAACGGTATAGTCGAGCACAAAGGTTTACTGAGTTGATATGTATATTTTATGTTTGTCTGATTTCATTTGGTTAAGCATCGAATTCTTTGCCACATTCAACAATATGATTATAATATAAATTGTTTAACCATCCAGAATTTGAATATCGTGCTCCTTTAAAAGGAAGAAAGAGCTAGTAAGCACTCAACTATTTGAAATTACTGTAATCAAGCTCAAGTTGGTTAGATAATCATTTTTGCTCGTTTATTTGTGGGGTAGAGGTTTGCAGGCTATGTCTAAATGGCCGATTGTAATTTTATTTTTCGTGACTACTGCTATACTTTACTTGTTTGAATTGTTAGCTTAATCTAACATGTTAACCATCAGCATATGATTTACCTTGATCATATTTTCATGATTTTTTGTCGTCGTTGAATTTGCTTTAAATGTAAGACGAAGTACAGTATTTACTACTATATAGTAGAGGCTCTTACGGGCATTGTCTGCTCGATACGTTAGGGACCCCAGATACACCTTACTAGACGTATTTTTGACCGTAGAATCGATTGAAAGTGGTTTCAAGATGATTGGACTGATTGTTCTGGGGTAAAATCGCAAAAAAACCGATTTTTGGGCCAAAAATAGGCCAAAAAACCATGTTTTTTGATATTTTGAGCAAGTTAATTTTGTTGGCATGTCGGCAAAACTTGCATAAAGATAGCTAAAAGACAGCCGCACAAGATTGTATAAAAATAAAACAAATCCCTCTATTTGTTCTGAGGTAAAAATCCAAAAAAGTGGTAAAAATTTTGACTTTTTTGCTTGAAGTTTGAATAATTTTTTGCAGTTGTATTAAATCAACCCAAAAATAGTTACATCGTGTTTGCCTAAATTTTTCCTTTCCGAGAAGTACCCACTTCATATACTTTATCGAAGTTTGAATATTTTCACTCCGCAAGCGTTTTTGCCAAATTTTCGACGCGCACTACGCGCAAAAGCATTTAGTTGTTATCAATTGGCACCCGCGCGTTCATCATAAATTTCAAACAGCTATAACTCAGCGAGATTATGTCCGTTCTAGCTCATATTTTCACACTAAATAGAAAATAATGTGATCTTATTGCTGACAAAATATGAATATAATTACTCTATTTGCCTTAGAGTAATAGACTGTCAAAGTTTAAAACGCGCATTGGTATAGCACGTGACTAATAAGGCCAAATTTATACTTCTTAACATATTATCGATCCTTAGACATCATACTATTGTGTCCAATTAGCGGTTAGGTCTCTAAACTCGTAGCAGAAAACACGTCTTTTTGCCCGTAAGAGCCTCTACTAATACTAATTCTGCTGTCTAGTACATCTAGTAAATATGATTTTCTTTGACCTTTTGTTGTCATTGAATTTAATCATGCTATATCAATCTTGACTTGAATATTCACTGATAATCTTTCTAGTTACTCAGTCTTTTATTTTATACCCACAATGAAAACGCAACTTGACTTACAAATGTTAGTCATAATATAACGATTGAGACCTAAGTCATCAAGAATTAAAAAAAATTTATTGATCATTGCACAACGCACATTTTTCACTTTGAATAGCTGGCTTATCATGGAACTATGTTACAATTTTAAACCACAATTGCGTCACAGAATGGCACTGTCAAGAGGTGATGTAAGGAAACATTTAGAAGATCTGGGATACTACAACGTTAGTGAGGACCTACTGGATGTCTTTGCAAAAGGTTAATTCATTCAAATATTTGGTAACCATGATAAGATTTTATCAGCATAACCTGGATAAATAATTTATATCAAGCACTCTAAGCAGTGACTTACATTATTACATTTTCAGCTATCTTTTTTTGTTGTTCCCATTAATATGTTTTATTATAATGGTTGACAAGTTTAATGATTTTGATCAAACCTCTCATTCAGATCTGAATCAGTTTGTTTTAAACGAAAGCTCTGCTAGCAGTAGGTGTTCGAGTGCTCCATCTCACGATGCATCAGGTATTAAAAACCACTTTTGGTGTTTGTAAAAATTGATGGCAATTAACAAATATTATCTTAAGATTGTAATAAAACTCAATTTCTGATGTACGATATTATCAGTGTTACCAACGGTTTAAAAAACAAATTCATATCAGGATTGTCAGACGTAACAAACACAAGCTCAAGAAAACGGATTACTAAGTGAGTAAAGTTTTATAATCTAACAAACTTGTATTTTTATTTTTTGAAAAGTACTTGTTATTACTTTAAAAATCATGGTAATTTCTCAAAGAAATTCGAACTCCCTTTCAACACAATCCCGGTTGAGATCAAACACCGGATATTTAGGTGGGCAACTTTCTGTCCCATAGCTGGACACAAACTTGTTAAAGATACCTCCCAAACTTTTATCTCCTTTGGGGACTTCACTAAACTTTACTGATGTTATGTGGTTGTTGACTCCGCTGTAACTGTTCTCCATGCTTGATATAGTGTCTGGTGGGGCCGAGGGAGCAGATGGTCGAGATGGATAAAATGAACGTTGGTAAACAGGGCTGTTCGAAATGCTTGGCTCTTGACCCAAGGGCCTCACTGGAACATTGCCGATTATAATATTCTCTCCCAACTCTAAATCCATTCCCCTCACTGGGACAAGCTTGATCATCAGCCAGTGTTTGACACTTACGTACGCACAATGTGGAAGATCCGTTGGTGGCAGAGCGGGAACGAAATATGGAACACTGTTCCAAATTTCATGGGTTCGTGCTCCAAAACCTGGCCTTTTCACCTTGGAAAAGTGTTCAATAGTTTGTTCGCTCTTCCAGGTGACAGAAGCAGTGAAAGTTACTTGTTGCTTGATCCATATCTCGCACCGCTTTATAGCAGTATCAGTTTCGTTAGATATCTTAGCATTTATCGGAATAACCTCTCCTGGGACATAGCTTCTCTTGGGTAAGAAGACCTCGACAAAGAGCGGCAGTGATTGGGTCAGTACCCCGAATGTTTTGGACCCTCTAAACTGGACAGGCCTCCAAACATTTGGCAATAGGTTGAGATCTTGTAGAGATAACACAACTATACCCACAGTTTCTTTATCTTTTGAGAAGGTTGTGTAGGAGTCTCCCACCGCTTCTTTATCTTTTGAGAAGGTTGTGTAGGAGTCTCCCATCGCTTCTTTGTCCTTTGAGAAGGTTGTGTAGAAGTTTCTATGGTTGGTTCTGTAGCGGATGAAATACCTCACTTTGCCGTAAGTCCCGCTAAAGGAGGAGGGAATGTTACTCGGGATGGGAAATGAAAACGGGAAGGAGTACATTCCGGGAGTGAGAGTGTGTTTTGGAGGTTGAAAAAGGGAAATTGTCCTGTTTATGTATTCTTGGTCTCCTTTGTATGTCTTGATCTTCGTAACTGTTTCGTGTCTGTAAAAAGACGGAAATGTCAGTGCTGATCACCTAGGTCCTAGGCCTGTGATCAATGAAGTTATTTAAGTTATAAAATATTTACTTAAAAGACGTGCGGCGATTATAACAAATGAAATGTATGCTGTCTTATCGTAAATTAGGGATATCATAATGCCATACCGGCATCTCTTAAACGGTAGAAATATTGACTTTTGTATAACTTATAATATAATTAAGAAAGAATAGCAACTAAAAGATCAGTTGAATCATATAATAGTATTATAAATGGTTGCCACTAAATTAATTAACTAACTAAAAACTGCAATACCTGTTAGTCTGATAATTGTACTGCTCCTCAGTGTACCTATCTGTAACCCTCGTTTTACACTCTCCCGCCAACTGCACACACACCCCCTCGCAATGCGTGTGCTCAGTACATGTAAAGTTAAGGGTACCAGTCACAGTTCCTCCCGTAAAGTACACTGAATGTGGGTTATCCAGCTTTACACTGAGCCCCCTTATCACCATTGTCTGTGCAGAGGGTTGATTTAATTAACGTGGTCGTGTGTTCACTACTTCTAAATAATATGTATCTGTGTAGTGTGTATGGGGTATTGTTGTTAACTTGATTTAAATCTTTGGATTAGATGGATCTTCAGGAAAATTTTATCAAATCAAAAAATCAATGTCTGATAATCCTAATTGGCTTGAAGAATTAACTTGTATCTTTTGTTAACTCATCAGTGGTGCTAAATGCGACAGAAAAGTGTAGTAAAAGAAGGTACAAAATTAACTTTAAGGTTTGTGAGAACTGCTTCTCTCTAGGCTGTTTCTACATCCTACAATATTTCCTCTCCCATAAAATCACAAATCTTTAAATTTTATTGATTATGTGCCACTTAGTAACATAAATAATGCCAAACAAATTGTCAAAATATTGACGATAATAAAAAATGTTGATTGCGAGAAGAATCAGCTTCAACTATGGAGCGTATTTTAATTGTCATAAGATTCTAATTTTAATAAGAACTGATCATAAGTATAAAGTACGACTACTGGCAGTCTTAACTCGGCTAACGTGGCGAACAGAAAGTAAAGAAGCATCTGAAAACTGTGACTCACTGCTTGCAGCTTGTATGTGGTCTAATTCCATGAAACTTAAGTTTCATTCTCGTCACTGATATCAGTTGTTAATACGTTAACTCACCTTCTAGTCTAGCTTTTACTTTCGGTATTAAAGAGTTGAAGATAATCAGATATGGTAATGTTAATACCGGGCGGGTTTATTGATAACCTAAAATAACGCTGATGTCGATTTAATTAAGTTAATTACTGATTTGACGTCAATGATTATGCTTGTGAAGTAAAAGCATTCCATCTAATTTTCTGGAAGATTCGACCAAGTTTCTTGTAAACGAGGAGGATTACGACTACGATACGTGATGTGGGTAATCTTACTGTAGTGCGACACGTACTGTAATGCGACACGTACTCTAGTGCGAAGTCCGACAAAAACACCCTCTGTCGCACTAGGGTACGTGTCGCACTACCATCCAGGTAGCGTACTCTACTGCGACAAAATATCCTGACTTATTTCCAAGCTCAGGTCACATCCTATCCTTCTTATGGACCATTAAGTGATTCGTCGGGTCGGTTCACGTCACTTATTTCGAATTGATCTTGCGAATACGATTCGTCGGTTCACATCACGTGTTTCGAAGTGATCCACTGATCACAATTCCTTCGGGTCAGTTCAAGCCACGTATGCAGTGTGTGATCCACCGGGTAACTCTTAAGCAGCATATGATCCTCATTCCTATCACACGTATCGTATGAAGGTATATCTCCGATTTGGATAACAAGTTCATATTCTTGGGCCATATATAAAGTCACGATGATTCTACCAAAGCATCGAACAACATCAACATGTATTCTTCAATCACCTCCATTCCTGGAGTCTGGACGCACTACTGGTTCAAGAAACGTTATCCACGACGGATACCGCTACTGCCTGGATAATTAGAAGCGCGACGACAGGACCTACTGGCGATCCACTGGGAAGATCTGCAGCAAACTCTGTCCACACAGCAAAGCAGCATATGAAACGGAAAGCTTCCGATACTGACCTCCCTACGAAACACCTAATTGCTGATGCTGTTGGACATTATGAAGCCCTCTTGGATGAGCTCCTTGCTTTTGGAGTCGACCCTCAATCTGTCATGAGTGACTACGAGAGAGCCCTGATAATCGCTGTGGAGACAACCTGTATACTACCAAGAGAGGATGCTTCTTCCACCACAAGCAAGCACTTTGGAGGAAGATGCAGCAACATGACCTAGTCCCGGAATACAACGCAGAGAACTCAGCAGTACGGAAGTACTTTAAGATGATCGGTGCTATTGCCTTCGTGGACCTAATCTTCGTGGACCTAATCTTCGTGGATTGTAATCTTTGATTTTATATTTAACCCCATATTTACTCATACACGACTACACTCTTGTCATTAAAACTTAAAAATGGAAAGTCAAATTTTTATTGCGTCAAGTATTTTGTCGCACTTTAGTTCGTGTCGCACTACAGTCCAGGTAGCGCACTGTAGTGCGACAGTGTCGGCCTTGAAATTTCTCTGTCGCACTAGGGTACGTGTCGCACTACGATCCAGGTAGCGTACTCTACTGCGACAGTGTCGATCTTGGAGGTTTCGCACTAGGGTACATGTCGCACTAGAGTACGTGTCGCACTACAGTACGTGAACCCGTGATGTGCTACGGAACTACTGAATGCAGAATGTATAAACAATCACTCAGCCAATGATTAGAGTGCTCACAAAGTGTTATTGTGAGCCAGAAGTCTCCAACTTCCGGGCTTTTTTTCCTCAATAATTTATCTCGCACAACACCTGGTGAACTTCCAGTTAAAATAACAAATTTGAAATGAGACTACTCTAACCATAAGCTGACTGCTGAGGGAATGTTAATCATATCAAGAGTTCACCAGAAGTTCAATGGGAGACTAATGTGTACTGTTTGTACAGGGCGGTGAACTCTTGATAAGATTAACAGACCATCAGCTTATGACGAGAGTGATCTAATTTCAAAATTGTTATTGTAAGCCAGAGGTTGCTGATTTCTCTTTCTCAGTCTATCATTTTTATTTAGTGAAATTCCTGCTTTGTTTTGAATGTTTGAAATTGTTGTTGTCACGGTGGCATGTCGAGAATCGAGATCCTTTCGTTCGTTAATAATTTATTTGCTTGTGCTAGATGACCAATTAAAGAAATAAATTCCATTATATAATGCTTTTGGACACGAAGGGAAACACACAACGATGAAAATCTTGAAATCTTCGTAAAACTACATCATTAGAGCCTGTAAATTTCATAATACGTACACATTAACTGTAGTCTTTTTAAAAGATTATAACACAATATTCTTATTCTTAGTATTTCCCGAAGATTCACATCTAATCTCTGTTGATAATGGCTGGTTCCCTAAAACCCTTTCTCCTACTTGTATCTTTTACGATGACGGCCGCAATCGAATGCCCCTTTGAACCCCTGGATGACAACTTTGGAGATGTTAGCGAGCCTGCATACACTGTGGAGGAACTAGAAGAAAACATGGAAAAGGTGTTTGAACAAAAGAGCACTTCTTGCACACCCACCGAGAGAGTTTACAGGTCCTACTCCTCTGGAGCTGTCCTCTCTAGTGACCTAACCAAAGCAGCAGGAAAACATTGCGCCTTTCCGAGCGAATGTAAGCTCTCTAAATCTGGGAGCAGTCTTCAAGCAGCAACCTGCACCGAACTGCTGAGGATCAGAGACGAGATAACCAGCGGTGGATACACGGCCACGTGCCGGCATGATCAAACCAACTGGAATGTTGGCCCTCCAGAAAAGAAAGGATGTGGTGCTGATGGAGTATGTACTGATCCTAATTACAGCATCTTTCTTCAGAGGAGACTTTCTCCAGCAGGTTGGTTTACACGTTTTTAATTTCCGGACGACATGTTTGTTGTAATTGTCTAACATTGTCACATTAAATCGTATCGCAACATTGCAGGAGGTGACCGGGATTGGCAATTTTGAGCAATCCCGGTCAAATGTTGATTTATTTATTTATGATCCCGGTCCGGGTCCCGGTCCCGGTTAATTCGGGATTCTTGGTCCCGGTCCCGGTCCCGGTCCCGGTCAATCACTCAAATTTGCCGGGATTTTGACCGGGATCTTTTACATAATTTCATTCACTGTGATTTTAAGTTTTTCCTTTCATTCATTGTGAATTTCATCTTTAAACATCCTCTGAGCCAAATACAACGATGTTTAAAATTGCTAAACAAGTTTGAGTAATAAATTATGATCATGAATTGACCAGTAATCGACCGGAATTCCCGGTACCGGGAATCCCGGTACCGGGATTGGCAATTTTGAGCTATCCCGGTCCCGGTCCCGGTCAAGTCACATTTTTCATCCCGGTCCCGGTAAATTGATAATCTCAGATAATCTCAGTCCCGGTCCCGGTCAAGTCACATTTTGTATCCCGGTCCCGGTCCCGGTCCCGGTCCCGGTCAGGCCTGAAATCATGTCCCGTCACCTCCTGCAACATTGTTCACCCGTTTCAGCCCGTTTTAGGATTACGTTTTGAAATTTTTAGACGCCATACAATCAATTTTTGTTAACCCTATTTCAATTATTCCGTCAAAGTTGACTATCTTTAATAAACCTCCACCAGGTCTACGCCGATCAAGTGTACAAGGACAATCTCTTCTAAAAGCTGGAATACAAATAGACAGCCTGGTATCCTCTTCTTACGAGCGTTCTAAGAATTCTGCTAAACAAGTAGGATACTGGTTTGGGATCACTGAGGTTAAAGAGGAGCCTCTTCCTTTGGACAACGGTGTACACGGGGCTCAAGATTACGAGAGGAAGGCTGGATATGAACCAAAGACTGATTCTGATCGGGGTTCAGATATCAAGAAAATCATGCGAGTTCGTTTGAGGAATTGGCTACAAGAGGATTGGGAACAGCAGACTGAAGGAGGGGTAAGGTTTACTTATAGCCATGGAGGTACAATGGAAAACGCTTTCGGACACTCATTTGATGAAGGTGACTGTGCTTGGTCGAAGCCAACAGACAACACTTACGATCTGAACGAGCCTTTGACTGTGGTTCTAAGCCAAAAGGAATTTCCAAACGAGATGAAAGTTGGAACAAAGAAGATTGACTTGTTTGCGGTGCTGAGCCCAGAGCAGACACAGAAGATGGCCCAGTGCACCGAGCTGAGAAAGGACTATGAGGATAGTATTTCATCATCAGATACTACGATTCTAGCAGCTGACAAAGACAAGGATCTTGAAATAACAGAAGATGAATTTACCAAATTCTGTGAAAATTCAGTGGATACTTCAAGAACATGCTCTGATCTATGGAAGTCTATCCTTTCGTTGCAAGCAAAGCCGTACTGGCAGAAAAACACAGTTTCCACTAGCTTTTTCATCGGAGAGCATGCTTACTTTAACGGGGGGTGGTCTGAAAAGGAGCACAGTTATGGTGCCTGGCAATTTCCTTATCGTGGGACAACACTGGACACAATCAGACCCACAGTTTCAGAAATGAAACAAATCCTAGCCCCTTTGGACGAGCTGATAAGAGCTGATCTTAATGATAAGGAAACGAAAGCAGTTGTAGACTGTATCCCACAAGAAAGCACAATCCAACAGTTCAGCAGCTGTGCTTCCTCTCTGCTGTCCTACAAGCCCATACCAACCCGCAATCGACCTGAAGATGACGTGCATCTGACAGATGATTACCCCATTCTAGGACAGAAATACGCCTACCCGACCACAATAACCATCACCCCCGTCCCTAACCCTGTGATGAAACTAGCCATGTGTTTGGTGGAGAATAGACACATCTCAGCAGAGAAGATGTCCCAGCTAATGGGTTGTGAATTAGCCGGGTCAGCAAATCAGAAGGGTGCATCTTGCACACCCTCTGAAAATGGATACAGGCTCAACTCCGGATATCGTCACCAGTTTGTCTTTGTGGTGGTGCTGACAATTATCTATAACATGTTTTGAGAGCGGGATAGTCGGAAACATACTTGTATTTAGTAGATAAAATTTTTCTTTAGAGTAGACTGAGAAGTGATATGATTTTATATCTAAGTCGGAAAGGAAAAATGTCCGAAATAGTTGTGCTGATTGCTTATATAATAATCCTTTATTTTATATTGTTTATCTTATCTTATATCATTTATCTTGGATTGCAAATAAAACATGTTTTTTAATCAAATTGTTTGTCTTTACCGTCTGAGGAATGCAAATTATAAAACAAAGGGTTCCTGATGATACACAGAGAAACTGAGGAACATCAAGTTCCATACATTTTGTTTTCAGTATTATTTTCTGATTTCTTTTTGCTCCGGAAATGCTCCACCGTATGATGTGTCACGTGTCTGGTGCTCTGGACGATACTTATATCTAATATGTAACTTAAATACTTTAAAAACTACTATATACAGAATAAAACCCCGATTTACCGTGCCCCGATTTACCGCAGACCCCGATTTACCGCGGTTGTTTCCTTTCCCCCAAACTCAGCGGTAAATCAGGGTTTTACTGTATTAGGATTGTCCGCCGTGGTTCAAGTGATCGGCGGCGGCGTTGACTAAAATAACAAAGGGGACTTATCGAAACGAGATGTTTTCCATGAAGTGGTTCAGTCACCGGAACCAAGATGTAATCACAGAAAAGGAAATAAGAATTCACGTAGATATTTTCAATCAATTCCGCTCAAATAGCTCTATATTATATTAGGACGCAATGAAACTACCGGACCACGATGTATGGGGACTTGCCACCCCATGGCAACATTAAAATATATCGACTCTGTTACATCGTTTCCTGTTAATATAAAACTCCGTTACAAAATGAACTGGGATCTGGCAATATATCGTTTTAGATTTGTTTGGAGAGCTCTAGCTAGAGGCGAATCATACACAGTTTAAGCTCTTGAATCTTCAAATAAATCATCTAATTAGAGAAACTACTAAATATAAAATGTTAGACTCAAAACTTAGGTGAACCAAGATTAACATAAAAATCTTAAAACTTTATACGAATCTTAAACTTTACACAACAAGATACAAGATACAAGGGCAGGTCTCTCCCAAAAGTTGTGATGGCCTGAGGTGCTTATCTCTTTTCAGTAACCCTAAGCCACTCTGTGCCGAGGCACTATACTAGCTGTAGGGAGGTTAGTCCTACGAGCCAGAGAGTGTGTATCACCAGCCGAAGCTGTACCAAATCACAGCTTGGTAACTGGCCGACTTGCATCCGACCGGATTTGAACCCGGGCCTTCTGGCTGGGAGGCGATCGTGTTACCACTACAGTACACCACCTAGCCGACTTTATACGAATCTTAAACTTTATACGAAACTTCATAGTTCATATGAATGAAAATCTATTTATATCACTACATTATTTAAGAAGTGATTTAAATAGTAGAAGTTTGCAAATGGACAACTTGTATGAATTGAACGAAATTAAAGATATAGCTGCATGCAACAGATGTTGGGAAAATCTTTTTCAAGGGTACAGTTTACCGCATTAAGGTATTTTTAAGAATCATTTTTGTCGGTAAGATCCTGTTTTATAATAATAATAATACATTATCACTATCTATATATAATATATATATATTGTATAATATATATCACCTATCTCTAATTCATCCAGTCTGATAGTTGTTTGGAACTTATCACCTCTCGATACATATTCTTATATAAAAATGTAATTATACGATAAGTCTACTGTAAAGAAAAAGTTTATCTACTAAATACAAGTAAGTTCCCGACTATCCCGCTCTCAAAACATGTTATAGATAATTGTCAGCACCACCACAAAGACAAACTGGTGACGATATCCGGAGTTGAGCCTGTATCCATTTTCAGAGGGTGTGCAAGATGCACCCTTCTGATTTGCTGACCCGGCTAATTCACAACCCATTAGCTGGGACATCTTCTCTGCTGAGATGTGTCTATTCTCCACCAAACACATGGCTAGTTTCATCACAGGGTTAGGGACGGGGGTGATGGTTATTGTGGTCGGGTAGGCGTATTTCTGTCCTAGAATGGGGTAATCATCTGTCAGATGCACGTCATCTTCAGGTCGATTGCGGGTTGGTATGGGCTTGTAGGACAGCAGAGAGGAAGCGCAGCTGCTGAACTGTTGGATTGTGCTTTCTTGTGGGATACAGTCTACAACTGCTTTCATTTCCTTATCATCAAGATCAGCTCTTATCAGCTCGTCCAAAGGGGCTAGGATTTGTTTCATTTCTGAAACTGTGGGTCTGATTGTGTCCAGTGTTGTCCCACGATAAGGAAATTGCCAGCCCCCTTCACTGTGCCTCTGTTCAGACCACCCTCCGTTAAAGTAACCATGCTCTCCGATGAAAAAGCTAGTGGAAACTGTGTTTTTCTGCCAGTACGGCTTTGCTTGCAGCGAAAGGATAGACTTCCATAGATCAGAGCATGTTCTTGAAGTATCCACTGAATCTTCACAGAATTTGGTAAATTCATCTTCTGTTATTTCAAGGTTCTTGTCTTTGTCAGCTGCTAGAATCGTAGTATCTGATGATGAAATACTATCCTCATAGTCCTTTCTCAGCTCAGTGCACTGGGCCATCTTCTGTGTCTGCTCCGGGCTCAGCACCGCAAACAAGTCAATCTTCTTTGTTCCAACTTTCATCTCGTTTGGAAATTCCTTTTGGCTTAGAACCACAGTCAAAGGCTCGTTCAGATCGTAAGTGTTGTCTGTTGGCTTCGACCAAGCACAGTCACCTTCGTCAAATGAGTGTCCGAAAGCATTTTCCATTGTACCTCCATGGCTATAAGCAAACCTTACCCCTCCTTCAGTCTGCTGTTCCCAATTCTCTTGTAGCCAATTCCTCAAACGAACTCGCATGATTTTCTTGACATCTGAACCCCGATCGGAATCAGTCTTTGGTTCATATCCAGCCTTCCTCTCGTAATCCTGGCCGCCGTGTATACCGTTGTCCAAAGGAAGAGGCTCCTCTTTAACCTCAGTGATCCCAAACCAGTATCCTACTTGTTTAGCAGAATTCTTAGAACGCTCGTAAGAGGAGGATACCAGGCTGTCTATTTGTACTCCAGCTTTTAGAAGAGATTGTCCTTGTACACTTGATCGGCGTAGACCTAATAAAGGTTGAATTAAGATAATACAATAGATTTTGATGATGCAAGTGATGGGATAAACTAAAATAGATTGTATGGTGTCCAAAATTTCATCCTGAACCCCGTGAACAATGTTGGGATAAGATTTAAAGTTTCGTTTGCAACTTGAAGACTTGAAAGCCGATCTACCAACCTGCTGGAGAAAGTCTCCTTTGGAGAAAGATGCTGTAATTAGGATCAGTACATACTCCATCAGCACCACATCCTTTCTTTTTCTGGAGGGCTAACATTCCAGTTGGTTTGATCATGCCGGCATGTGGCCGTGTATCCACCGCTCGCTATCTCGTCTCTGATCCTCAGCAGTTCGGTGCAGGTTGCTGCTTGAAGACTGCTCCCAGATTTAGAGAGCTTACATTGGCTCGGAAAGGCGCAATGTTTTCCTGCTGCTTTTGTTACGTCACTAGAGAGGACAGCTCCAGAGGAGTAGGACCGGTAAACTCTTTCGGTGGGTGTGCAAGAAGTGCTCTTTTGTTCAATCACCTTTTCCATGTTTTCTTCTAGTTCCTCCACAGTGTACGCAGGTTCGCTAACAGAGCCATAGTTGTCATCCAGGGGTTCAAAGGGGCATTCGATTGCGGCCGTCATCGTAAAAGATACAAGTAGGAGAAAAGGTTTTAGGGAACCAGCCATTATCAAGAGATAGTAGATGTTAATCTGCAGGAAATACTAAGAATAGCAATATTGTGTTATAAAAGACTACAGTTGGTGTATAATGAAATTTATTTATTTAATTGGTCATCTATGGTAGCTCAGACCCGTTATCGTTTTAAAATTGATTAAAAAAACCGATGTCAAATCGTTTTTTATTTTAATATTGAAATTGAATTGCAATTTCATGGCTCAAACCCGCCATGCCGTTTTAAATTGATTTAAAAAAAAACCCAATGTCAAATCAATTTTGATATTGAATTGTAATTGAATTTCAAAGCTCTAACCCGCCATCATTTTCTATTTTGATATTGAATCGGAAGTTCTTGGCTCAAATATCAAACTCGCCATGCCGTTTTAAAATTGATGAAAAAATATTTTCGGCTCTTAATGATCAGGGTAGCATGAAACATGAACAAAAGTAGTTTCCAGAAAATCTTTGAAAAATTTTGACTTGGACAATTTTCGGTAAAAAACCGAAAAAATATTTGACCATTTTTGTCCCAAAATTTTTTAGAAACCTAAATAAAAAAGTTGGCCCTTTTTGGCCCCTTGCCCAGATTTTATAGGGGGACGATGGCCCCCTGCCCCCCCCCCGCTTCCTACACCCCTGTCAAAACCAATTAAAAAACTGTTTGATCAGATACGACAGTTGCGCCTAACCGATATATTGAAATCCCTCCAATTATAATAAAAGTAAACTTTATTCAATAAAAAATCGTACGATTATAACGATGGACGCAAAGCTACGAAGAATTAAGAGTTATCAAAACAAACTCACAAAGTGAGTTATCGAGAATAATATGCGACTCTTCAGAGATATATTAGGACGCAATGAAACTAAGCTACCGGACCACATGTATGGGGACTTGCCCAGAATATGCACTCTTCAAGGCGGAATGTAATTTTACTTCCTCCAAACGTAAATTCCACAAGTTGCAGAAGGGGCTGTGGCTTTATGCCAGATCTTATCCTATCACATGATTAGCGATTAGGTAATCATTGAATACATACATACATGCTAATCATCGAATACCCAATCAAATCTAAAACCTTCTACGACATTCAGATTTAGATGTAGTTTTATTAGCGGAGATTCAATGCGGTAAAAAAGTGGTAAATAGTGGCTGTTCTTTAAAAATTTCGAGAATTGTACTAGTCCAAAATACTGAAAGTGAAAATGTTCAACAAATTTATTAAAATTAGTTCATCAAACGTTTAACGTAATTGAAAACATTTTTTATCAGAATATATTTTTGAAATATTTTGAAAATTTACTTATTATTTAATTATTTAATTAAATAATTTTTCTTTATTAAAAAGTTATTAAAGAAAAAGTTGTTCTTCTCTGTTTTCTAACCACACTGCTTTAAACTAGAATCTTCTTAGATATTCAGAAGTTGACTTATTTGCGGAAACCCAATGTGGTAAAAAGGTGGTAAAAAAGTGGTAATTGTGGATTTTGCTGACGTCAGAAATTTTGGGAACTCTCTGGAATGATTTCTGGGACCTGTCCGCGACAAATCTCGCATTTTCCTTTAAATCCGAGGACTGAATTCGCGTATTTTTCTTCAAATCTGCGGGCTAAATATCACGTTTTCTATAAGTATATGAAACCAATCACATTCACAGTCTTCCGAAATCCGAATGTATGTAGGTGCGGACTTCGAAAACCAAACAAATATTTCCGGCTCATAATGATCAGGGTAGCATGAAACATGAACAAAAGTAGTTTCCAGAAAAACTTCATTGCATTCATTGATCACAGGCTAGCTATACATCACATCTCCGCAAGCAACCCTTGCGGCTGACATGGTAACGAACGAAAGGAAGGAAGAAATATGACAACGTATTCAGACCCACCTACCTATCTCCAAAATCCACGTTTTTCTGCAAAAACGTCCATTCGTAACGTTTCACTATTGCTTTTTTACAAAAGGGTGTGAATGGAAAAATCAAATCAAATAAAATCAAGAATAATGACGTAATAAACAACACCGCCACATCTAAAAACAGTGGTCCTAATTCCTACATTATCTAGTACTAGAAGGCCCGTGGTAACAGGGATGAAGCTAGTAGGTTTCTATTTTTGGTAGTCAGTTTTTATAGCATCAAAAAATATCCGTCATAATCGAGTATACAGCCCATTAAAATGTAGATCGCACAGAACACAACGTAATCACCACAAAACCGATCAAAATGATGTTAAAACAATCATTGCACGTGCACGTGCACATTTCAACTCCGTTACCATGGTTACTTTGCAACTACCTATTTCTCGTCTAATTTGCACGTGGGCGGTCGTACAGACAAAAACAATTCTTTGAATTATAAGTAAGACTAGAAAACCCGTGGTCACAGGGAGGAAGCTAATAGTATTTTTTGTTAATAAGTTCAAATCGCGTCAAAAAATATCCTACACAACCAAAGATACAGCCGATTAAAATGTTGCTCGCACTAAACACAACGTAATATCAACAAAACCGATAAAAATGCCGTTCTAACAATTAAATATTTGCACGTGCACGTGCGTGTAACAACCCTCGTTACCATGGTTTGCTACATTTTGCTTTTTACCTAATTTGCACCTGGGCGGTCGTACAGATAGACATTATACAGCAGAAATAATTCTCTGAATTATAATATAGATAACTTAGTAGACAGCTTTTTAAGTGTGGTAGCTGTTAAACAGGGTTCTTTGTGCTCGTTTCATCGCAGGAAGCTGTGTCACTAAAGTCATGACATCGGATTTTAAATCCTGAAAGTCGTTGATAATATGAAATTTAGAGTTCATGAATCCGAGATTTTGGAAACATTTTGGAAACATGTGTCAGAATTGTGTCAGAATTGTGTCCGATTTGGAAACATGCCCTTGTAGCCGCAATTATGCCTGGACTGACTTGAAATCGATCTGGTATGGTAGAGGGACATGTGTACTAACAATTCCAGCCACTCAGAAGTGCGAAATATTCATGGAATGAACGAAATGAAGAAAAATCAACATTATCATAAATTCCCACGAATTGAGCTGTAATCGATTGGTATTTATATCAGAAGTATCCCTGGGAATTTTGGTGGGTCTAGCATGTGTATACTTTTAACAAACAGTGCAGTTTTTATGTAGTAGCCATGGGGAGAGCGGCGTTGCCGTTCTGCTAAGGGTTCCGATGGACCTTTGCATCCCCCCTCAGCCGAATGCTTATGAAATGACCAACAGTAAGTGTAATCTACTTTCTGAGCACGCCTTTCTTGAGTTTGCTCGCTCAGCCTGCCTAGTAATATTTAAACTTAGTACACCTCTAAGTAAGAAGCCTGTTGATATTCCTGTAGACATTCCTAAAGTAGAAAGTAAGAAACCTGTCAACGTCTTTGAGTTTGAACCTTTGTCAGGGATGAAAAGAGCTGCTCCCTCAAATGTACAAATTAAGAGGAAGAAAGTAAAGATAGGTCCGGGTCACACTACAAGACCCGTAAGTAAAACCTGGCAAAGTTGCTCAGATACTGGTAGGTTAGATTTATATTCAGAGCAGCTTCGTATTTGTCAGTCCGCCACTTCCTGGTATGATGATATTGTTATTAATTCGTACGCCTTCATGTGCCAGTTCAATCGTTCCAATTCTTTCCTATATCAAGATACCCTTTTAGGAAGTCGCTATTCGTTAAATGGTTTCAGTCCCGTTGATGGTAAGTTTATTCAAATAGTTAATCCTAACAATAACCACTGGTTTTGCCTTTCCAACGCCCTTACATTCATTAGAGAGCCACACGTAGTAGAGATATTCGATTCATTAAGAACCGCTAAGTCTTTAGAAACATGCATGATTATAGATAGATGTATTAGTAGTCAAATTTTACAACTGAGACCACAGACAACAGTCGTTAGATTTGTACAAACTCAAATTCAAGGTAATGGGTATGACTGTGGGCCTTTGGCGCTTGGATTCCTATGGTCCCTATCTCACGGCCACCATCCCTTAAAATTTCAACATCTCAAAGGACCGACGATTCGTAGACAGGTAAGAGAAAGTTTTACAAAAAACAATTTTCTAGCTCCATGCCCGTACAAGCGTCCTGATTTGACTCCTAAGAAAATCCTTAGAACTTTCACCTTAGAACTTCACTCCGGCAGGTTTGTATATAACAACGGTTTGTATGAGTAAGTATCAGTAACTAATATGTTTAAATTAGTTGTAATGATCAACGTTACATTATTATTACTATCGATGTATATGAACATTAATTTATGAGTGAATATGATTTAAATTATTTGAATGAAACGATTTTGGTTTGCACCGAAGAAATCCCACAATCCTAATCGTATCTTCATTCCTTACCTTCCCCTGATCTCTCCTAACATTGAACTACCCTTTACCTGGACCTATTATTATCACGAACCTAATCCTTACCTGGACAAATTATTGTCATCCTTACCCCTAAGTTCCATGCCCGAATTTTCACCCGAATTTTTCACCCGAATAAAATTTGCCCGAATTTTTAACCCAAATTTTTCACTTCGACTGAAATATTCGGGCTAAAAAAATTCGTGAACTTGCGCACGAATTTTTTTTATTTCACTCAAATAATACAGTCGCTGCGGTTGTAATCAATACTATAATTGCATTTCCTTGTCCTAAATGTTTCTGGGATTACCTAACGCATATCATCATAACACTAATGATCACAACGCTATTACACTACACATTGATTACACGATTAGCCATTTTATTGAGGAGCTGCATTGAGTCATTTTCGGGTTCCCATTTCAAGAGCCAATGTTTTATTATCTGATATCTAGGTTCTTAGGTTGTCATTACTTTTTCAAGGGATAGAATATTTAGGCTTGAAGTTTGTGAACTATTTAAGGATAATAATATAGCCATATTTTGTTTTGAATAGCAAGTGAAACAAACAACATTTATGATTTAAATAGATTAATAAAAATGATAGAAGTTAATTTACATAATATCAATATCAATAAATAAATAAATTAATTTAACCTAGGTTGAAATAACTGTTCTTGGCCCTTATAGGAGCAAAAATAATGGCCGAAATTTGCGCCATTGCACTGAGAGCGTCAGTCTCATCCATCGCTCTCAATCTCTGCACAATAGTATCCCCAAATGCAGAAAACTGGTCGCTCGGACCAGGGGCAGGTGTAGGGGCTTGGTGGGGTGCTGCCAGAGATGCAACCAGTGCAGAGCTCAATTGGGAGAAGCCCTCAGCTGAAATTTATAAGCATAATGTGAGTTAATATAGTTGCTAAATGTTATGCCAATAGAGCTATTGTGCTCGCAACAACTCCATATTACAGACAAACTATTGGTTATAATATGTATAATTAAGAAATGTAAACAAGATCTTACCAAACTGATTAGTTTGATCCCTCATTTGGTTTCTTTCTCTGGCATATTTGGACTTATTTCCATTTTTCAGGCAACTTGCAATGACCTTTCTTTTACCTTAGATATATGTACTAAATAAAAAATCCTAGACAATTCATACATTGATATTATAAAAGCAAGTCTCAGTTTAATATATGGATGATAACTTTAAGAAGAGAAGAGTTAAGATAATGGATAGGTTATCTGTAAGATAAATGGTAGCATACATTTATTGATAATAAACTACGTACCTAAAACCGAGCCTGACTCTGAGGCCGCTGTCGTCAGTTCTGAAATGACCCTTTCAGTATCTCGCTCCATACTTCTGTTGAGGTCGTTTTCAGCCATCACCAAAGCCTCATCTTCTTCACCCCCTTCTACAGATATCTGATTGATTTTTGGGTCAAGGCAAAGTGACTGAATCTGTCACTTACTGTCGTTCATTATGATGTGTTATTTGATTTAAATTCAAATACGTATAGCTCTAACTATTAAGCATAAATTATAAACCTCATCGTCGCTTATCGACAAGACATTGGTTGTTGGGTCTTCAGTGCCGAACGACCCTACAGCAGTTCCGTCGAGAAAGCGGAGAAATTCTGCGTGGCAGTAGCTCTTGATGTGCAGTTCGTCATCCGGAGCTTGACCACTTTTTGTTTGCTGAAAACCAAACATTAGGATGACGAAAGTGACATTATTATCGTTTTTCAATAAAGTAAAAATTGTGTTCTTTTCCTTCAATATTTTTACATATTAGTATTACGAGAGAAAAGGTGGAGTAGATTCGACAATAAGTCTCAATTTTATAAGAATTTCTATAGTATGTTTATCAATATAAGCGTAAGTGGTAGTAGTAAGAATACATACTCTTTGCTGCTCCACTTTGCTTAGCCATTTAGCATAGTTCTGTTTGTACCCTCTGAACGTACCCATTACAGTTCCAACTGAAAAAGAATTAATAAATGAAATAGTTTAACACAAACAGAGACTTCCTATGTATTATCATCAATGCAGTTCTGGCACATGCACATGGGCAATTAAATACACACAAATATGTCTAATCTAGAACTAAGCAGTCAATACTTACCGGCAAAAGAAGACCAAAATTGGGCATCCTGTTCTTTTAGGTGGTTTAAAACCGCCGCTTTGGCAGCTTTACCTTTTGGCGTCCTGTCTTTAAATTTATAGTCCTCCCCTGAAGTGAACAACAACTCAAGAAAAATTGATATGGTCTATAAACATTTAAATTAAAGTGCTATTCCTGTTAATTTAAACTGTTGTTGATTTAAAATGAAGCTATAGATTTGAAAGTTTTGTAATGATATAGAAATCTCACTTGATGGATCCCACAGAATAGGTTGCATTTCTACTGCCTTACAGAGTTGCTCTACACGAACTTTATCAAGTACCATAACTAAAATGCCGTCAAGATTATTATGTTAAGTTATCAACATATAAAGTAAATTGCTACTGCCGGGTATTAGTAGTTGTACAAATGATACTGCAGTTATCAACGTCGCAAGTAAAATCCATGGAACCGTTACAAATAATGTAAGTATAAACTCGATAAAATGAATAGTAATACAAAAATATATAATTGTTATAATAGGACAATAAAACTTATCAATAGTAATACAGTAAGACAATCCGTACCCAAGAAAGAGACACCCGACAGTCCCTCTCACTGCCTCTAAATACTACTATTCACGTGACACGTATGCCGGTCACGTGATAAGATCTTAAGCTAATATCATCTAAATAGGGTACAACTAAACATGTCAATCTGTAGAGTAAACAAAAGAGGTGGCAAATAAGCCTAATTAAGGAAAGTGAGGTGGAAACAGCTTGCTAGCCGTGTGTTAATATGAGGTTAATAACAGAAGGCCATTAACCACAAAGGAAGAAGAACTAGTAGTCTAAAATGACGTGTACACTCGTTAAATGAGAGTACAACATATATTAGAATAATAAAAAATGTCAGGTATCTGGTAGAATAATAAATAAGTGAAGTATGTAGAACTTGATAGAATGAAAGTGTTGTATTAATAACGGCCGATAAAGTAGTCATGCGAATTGTTATAAATATCAATTATATTACGTCGTATTGACTGTCTATTGGATACTCAGACAAGAAATATTCTCGTAAATAGTCTCTCATACTTGTCGCAGAATCTAGAGTACCCTGATAGTTCCTGTGTTTGATCTTTTCCAGTTTCTGAGACCAAATCTTTTGAGCTACATCAGCCTCTTTCTCTGGGATTGGCTTCTGGTTGATCAAATAGTTATGCAGGATAACTGCAGCTTCTGCGATCAACCTGGCATTACTTGGTGCACAGTAAACGCGGTTAATCATAACACGGAAGCGATTGGCCAAAATGCCGAAAGCGACCTCAACAACTTGCCTCGCTCTGGACAAACGATAGTTAAAAATTTCCATCTCGACAAGGAGGTTTCTTCCAGCATAAGGCTTCATAAGATGTAGACCCAATCCAAAGCCATCGTCGCCGATCAAATGATAATTAACAGGCTTCTGTCTAGAATCTACATTATTCATTGGACTTACTAGGACATGTGCGGGAGGTATTTTTAGTGGGTTGCTATTCGCAGAAGGATTAAATAATGGTCGCATTTGCGACCGGTTCCAAATCCCCGAATCTGCCATTCTCCCTGGAGATCCGATGTCATACGCTATAAATTTATAGTCAGCCCCGACTATAGCCATCAAATTTATTGAAAATAACTGTTTATAATTGTAATATGTGGATCCGGAACTTCTTGGCTTGATCATCACTACGTGCTTACCGTCAATAGCTCCGATTGTGTTTACATAATCCCAACGATTTGCAAATCGTCGTTCCACTTCAAGCCATTCATTTTCTGATGATGGTACCTTGGCGTGAATAGGTCCCAAGTGTGTTATGATGGCCTTCAAAACTCTCGGTATGAATTTTGAAATTGTTGGTCGGCCAATCATAAAATAAAGCGATAGTGTCTTATGGCTTTCTCCCCCAGCTAAATAACGCAAAGTTACCATCAGCTGCTCCTTTGCAGATATTCCATTTCTTGAATTTGAACCGTCTTTGGCGATGTCATCCTCAATAAGTACCAGTACTTCATGAAACTGACGCTTCGTCAGCCTCATAAACGACTTGAATTCCGCCTCCGACTGCCTGAACAAGACCTTAAACTGATTGTTCATAGCCCCATTGCGATCCCTTGATCTTAGAAAGGGTCGTACCCAATGTCTGAAAAAAAAATGAAACTCAAACAACCACAACCAGTTCAGTACCTTTAGATATCATCAATGAAAATTTAACATTTTTTCTTTTATTCCACCTGTTTGGTTTATAAATGCATATCAATTAAATATATATATATATACATACGTACCGTGGTGGGAGCCGGTACATCCGAGTTACATCGTTGTGGGTAACTTGAGCACAAGCTGTTATCAAGACAACTATCGAAACCAAAATTATCTTCATTCGCCTGTGCCGCTGCACGTCCATGATGTATAGTGTATACTTACTAAATCCTTTACTACAGTCCTTGGGGGGTGGGGGATCATGTTGTTTTTGTCCGTGCAATTTTGTCCGTTTTCAGAAAATAGGGTACCGCACGGACAAAAACGGACAAAAATTGTAACTTTTGATTTAAACTGTCTCCACAATTTGTAACAGGCTATCTGCAGAAATGGGTAGCACGGTTAATGACCATGGTCCTTTCTCAAACTTTCAATCCTCGGTTCAAAGAATAGTCAACACATTTCTTAATAACATCAAAAGGGATGAAAATCACTTTATCGTGTAACAACTTTTCCATAGTACTGGAGAGTAAAACTCTGTTAAATACAAAAATGCTTGAGCACATTTTTAGTCAGCAACAGTAACATGTCAATATGTTATAGACTCAAATGCGTTTAAAAACGTTTTAGTAACAATAAGTTATGTAAACTGATGAGGAGGAGGAGGAGCAGGAGGACTGAGAAGGACTGAGAAGGACGGAGGAGGAAGAGGACTGATGAGGAGAAGAACTGAGGGGGAGGTGGACGACTGAGGAGGAGGAGGAGGATTGAGGAGGACTGAGGAGGAGGACTGAGAAGAACTGAGGAGGATGACTGAGGAGGACTGAGAAGGACTGAGGAGGACTGAGGAGAACTGAGGAGGATGACTGAGGAGGACTGAGAAGGACTGAGGAGGAGGAGGACTCAGGAGGACTGTGGAGGAGGAGGACTCAGGAGGATGAGGAGGAGAAGGAGGAGGACTCAGGAGGACGACCCAAGAGGAGGGGGAGGAGGAGGACTCAGGAGGAGGAGGAGGAGGAGGAGGATTGAGGAGGATTGAGGAAGATTGAGGAGGACTGAGGAGGATTGAGGAGGACTGAGGAGGACTGAGGAGGACTGAGGAGGAGGAGGAGGATTGAGGAGGACTGAGGAGGACTGAGGAGGAAGATTGAGGAGGAGGATGAGGACTGAGGAGGAGGACTGAGGAGGAGGAGGACTGAGGAGGAGGATGAGGACTGAGGAGGAGGACTGAGAAGGACTGAGGAGGATGACTGAGGAGGACTGAGGAGGACTGAAGAGGAGGATGACTAAAGAGGACTGATGAGGATTGAGGAGGAGGACTGAGTAGGACCTTATATCTTTATATTAATTTAAGTTGGTCAAACATGTTAATTGCGAAGGAGTCATTCTTGAAAATTTAAGTTCAAACAACTTAATTTAGATATGTCATTGTCAACCCTATTTTCTTAAATTTACACAAAAAAGTTTATAGAAAATATATAAAACGAACAGAAACTGACGGAAACACAATAGAAATGAAGGACACTATTTTGCTTCTGCACATTGGTTGTTACACTAGTTTACGTAATGTTTACGTAATTTTGATCCTAATTTAAACTTGGGTGGTCGCAGTCTCGATCTCACCCGACGCAACCGATATGCGTATCGATTTCCGCACGCAAATTATTTGGGCATGGAACCTTTCACCCGAATAAATTTTGTTCACAAATAAAATTTGCCCGAATTATTTTACTGTATTATTTGGCCATGGAACTAGAGGGTTACCTGGACAAATTATTGTCAACCTTACCTGGACAAATTATTGTCATCCTTACCTGGACAAATTATTGTCTTCCTTACCTGAAACTGCTGTATCCATCCCTAGTATGTAACATGAAGACTACTCCTTTTCTGGAAGTCTTTGTTATATAACTCTATAGTACTTCCCTTTATATGGAACTTCGACAGCTCCTACTACTGGCACTTACATGACAAGCCTAAAACTGTTCCTTCCTTAACATTGCTACATACCTACAACTTCTCCTTCCCTAACATTGCTACATACCTAAAACTTCTCCTTCCCTAACATTGCTACATACCTACATGTTTCCACGAACTCGGATTCATCTTCTGGAAATTTAAACGATTAACAACAGCTATCTTATGGATTGCGCGAACGCCGATCCACTAAACAGTAGTTTCTTAACTTTTTTCACTCATCAGTGTTGAATTGGCGGCATGCCGCGCGCGACGGCATGTTATGGCGCGCACGCTACTACTGCTTAATAATAACTACCTTACTCGGGAATATTATGACAGGGATAAAGTGGTGGGTTTTGGAAAATTCCGCCATATTTTTCCCGGTCATTAATTTTCCCAGTCATAAATTAACCTGCTATAATGTTCCCGAGTAAGGTAAACTAATAGTAATACATTTTGATGCTTGGTGGGTTTTGGAACATTCCGCCATATTTTTCCCGGTCATTAATTTTCCCAGTCATAAATTAACCCGCTATAATATTCCCGAGTAAGGTACTTTTTTCTTTTCCGGACAGCTTGGGCATTGGGGGTCCTTCACATATTACGTAATCAATATTTTAGCAGTTTTTACCCCTTCCCCCTCCGTAATCAACCCTAATCAAGACCCAACCCCCCTCCTGACAGCAATATTACGTAATCATGGACTGACCGCCCTGACTTTTTTCCCTAGAAAACACTTTTCTCTACGTTTCATACTATCATGATGAGCCGAAATCATTGTTATTATATCCGGCCAAGCACCTTCTAAACTACTTACTATTATATCCGGATATTCGATCAATTTCTAAATTTTATCACTATCAGAGTGAAATTTAATGGAATTTGAATTAAAATATTGTCAAATTATTATTATTCTAGAGGGCAGAAAATAAAGAAGTTTGATGTAATCAATGACCAACCCCCCCCCCCCCCCCGTAATCAACCGTAAGTATTTGGAAACCCCCCCCCCCCCTCGGCTGATTATGTAATATGTGAACGACCCCTTGTCACTTGTGAGCTTGTCGATTGCACGCTTTTTCAGATGGAGTTGGTTTAAAATCCAAAATCCAAAAATAATAGGCCATTTAAAGACCAAAATAAATGAAATTTGAGTTAACTGGAGAGTTTCTTCCTTCAACTAAAGGCAACTATAACTGTGCTCAGCTATGCTTGTTAAAACAGCAACCCGGACCTGGGATAGCACAGTATGATGGGATAGAGATCGTACATAACAGAGATCGTACATAACATAACAGCAGGGTGTCAGAATTATGTAGATATAAGGGACCAAATTCAAAATTGTTCACAAGTCTTTCCCTTTGTTTCATAGGCGGCATGGCGCTATTTACTGGAATTAATCCTGTGTAACTCTTGAATTCTTTTTTAGCCAAAAGTCTTGATTAAGCTCCTTTATTGTATTCAGATTCTGATAAACAATCTTTGGCGTTTCCTTTCGCCGTCACAACCTTGACTAGCTGTGCTTCTGGATTGTGATCATTGCTAGGATTGTACAGATCACTTTCAGAAAGGCTTAGTTAGTGGAGGATGTTTCAGGTCACTTCATATCACGCTCCACGTTCAGATAGACGTTATAAGAAATGAATCCTTTTTGTGGCACCATTTTAACCTTTTCATAATTTTGACCGTTGATAATAGTGCTCCCTCAAAAATGTCAACAAAAATTACAGAAAAACTTATTTTTACTCTATTTCGATTCAACAGCTCTTCGTGTATTTATGCAGTAAAACTGCTTTGATTAATTGTAGGACACATTTGAAATTATTTGAACTATTGTTCTTCATAACTTTACAAAAGATAAATTATTTCAGACATCGCAACGGAAACACAAGCGTTTCGATCCGAGAAACTCCGAGTTACATTGAAAACTCGGCTGATGCTACCAAATTAAAAAACAGAGACTCAACTTTTGACATATCGGACTCCATTTCTACGACATCATTATCAACCGTCGATGACAATAAACCATTTGTAAGTATCCATATAATAGTCTATAAATATCTTCACTTTCTTATTCCACCATTTTACCTCCTTCATCTTCACATAGATTTCCTCTTCTTGGAGGGTTGCCGAGATCCAGCCTCTTTTTAACGTTTAGGTCACCCAGATTCAGCCTCTTTTTAACGTTTAGGTCACCCAGATCCAGCCTCTTTTTAACGTTTAGGTCACCCAGATCCAGCCTCTTTTTAACGTTTAGGTCACCCAGATCCAGCCTCTTTTTAACGTTTAGGTCACCCAGATCCAGCCTCTTTTTAACGTTTAGGTCACCCAGATCCAGCCTCTTTTTAACGTTTAGGTCACCCAGATCCAGCCTCTTTTTAACGTTTAGGCCACCCAGATCCAGCCTCTTTTTAACGTTTAGGTCACCCAGATCCAGCCTCTTTTTAACGTTTAGGTCACCCAGATCCAGCCTCTTTTTAACGTTTAGGCCACCCAGATCCAGCCTCTTTTTAACGTTTAGGCCACCCAGATCCAGCCTCTTTTTAACGTTTAGGCCACCCAGATCCAGCCTCTTTTTAACGTTTAGGCCACCCAGATCCAGCCTCTTTTTAACGTTTAGGTCACCCAGATCCAGCCTCTTTTTAACGTTTAGGCCACCCAGATCCAGCCTCTTTTTAACGTTTAGGCCACCCAGATCCAGCCTCTTTTTAACGTTAGATCACCCAGATCCAGCCTCTTTTTAACGTTTAGGTCACCCAGATCCAGCCTCTTTTTAACGTTTAGGTCACCCAGATCCAGCCTCTTTTTAACGTTTAGGTCACCCAGATCCAGCCTCTTTTTAACGTTTAGGTCACCCAGATCCAGCCTCTTTTTAACGTTTAGGTCACCCAGATCCAGCCTCTTTTTAACGTTTAGGTCACCCAGATCCAGCCTCTTTTTAACGTTTAGATCACCCAGATCCAGCCTCTTTTCAACGTTTAGGTCACCCAGATCCAGCCTCTTTTTAACGTTTAGGTCACCCAGATCCAGCCTCTTTTTAACGTTTAGGTCACCCAGATCCAGCCTCTTTTTAACGTTTAGGTCACCCAGATCCAGCCTCTTTTTAACGTTTAGGTCACCCAGATCCAGCCTCTTTTTAACGTTTAGGTCACCCAGATCCAGCCTCTTTTTAACGTTTAGATCACCCAGATCCAGCCTCTTTTTAACGTTTAGGCCACCCAGATGCAGCCTCTTTTTAACGTTTAGGTTACCCAGATCCAGCCTCTTTTTAACGTTTAGGTCACCCAGATCCAGCCTCTTTTTAACGTTTAGGTCACCCAGATCCAGCCTCTTTTTAACGTTTAGGCCACCCAGATCCAGCCTCTTTTTAACGTTTAGGCCACCCAGATCCAGCCTCTTTTTAACGTTTAGGCCACCCAGATCCAGCCTCTTTTTAACGTTTAGGTCACCCAGATCCAGCCTCTTTTTAACGTTTAGGTCACCCAGATCCAGCCTCTTTTTAACGTTTAGGCCACCCAGATCCAGCCTCTTTTTAACGTTTAGGTCACCCAGATCCAGCCTCTTTTTAACGTTTAGGTTAACCAGATCCAGCCTCTTTTTAACGTTTAGGTCACCCAGATCCAGCCTCTTTTTAACGTTTAGGTCACCCAGATCCAGCCTCTTTTTAACGTTTAGGTCACCCAGATCCAGCCTCTTTTTAACGTTTAGGTCACCCAGATCCAGCCTCTTTTTAACGTTTAGGTCACCCAGATCCAGCCTCTTTTTAACGTTTAGGTCACCCAGATCCAGCCTCTTTTTAACGTTTAGGTCACCCAGATCCAGCCTCTTTTTAACGTTTAGATCACCCAGATCCAGCATCTTTTTAACGTTTAGGCCACCCAGATCCAGCCTCTTTTTAACGTTTAGGTCACCCAGATCCAGCCTCTTTTTAACGTTTAGGTCACCCAGATCCAGCCTCTTTTTAACGTTTAGATCACCCAGATCCAGCCTCTTTTTAACGTTTAGGCCACCCAGATCCAGCCTCTTTTTAACGTTTAGGTCACCCAGATCCAGCCTCTTTTTAACGTTTAGGTCACCCAGATCCAGCCTCTTTTTAACGTTTAGGCCACCCAGATCCAGCCTCTTTTTAACGTTTAGGCCACCCAGATCCAGCCTCTTTTTAACGTTTAGGTCACCCAGATCCAGCCTCTTTTTAACGTTTAGGTCACCCAGATCCAGCCTCTTTTTAACGTTTAGGTCACCCAGATCCAGCCTCTTTTAACGTTTAGGTCACCCAGATCCAGCCTCTTTTTAACGTTTAGGTCACCCAGATCCAGCCTCTTTTTAACGTTTAGGCCACCCAGATCCAGCCTCTTTTTAACGTTTAGGTCACCCAGATCCAGCCTCTTTTTAACGTTTAGGTCACCCAGATCCAGCCTCTTTTAACGTTTAGGTCACCCAGATCCAGCCTCTTTTTAACGTTTAGGTCACCCAGATCCAGCCTCTTTTTAACGTTTAGGCCACCCAGATCCAGCCTCTTTTTAACGTTTAGGTCACCCAGATCCAGCCTCTTTTTAACGTTTAGGCCACCCAGATCCAGCCTCTTTTTAACGTTTAGATCACCCAGATCCAGCCTCTTTTTAACGTTTAGATCACCCAGATCCAGCCTCTTTTTAACGTTTAGGCCACCCAGATCCAGCCTTTTTTTAACGTTTAGGCCACCCAGATCCAGCCTCTTTTTAACGTTTGTTTTATATCTTTGTTTTTTCAGCCGAGGAAAGTATGGGACGAGAACGAGAAATTGTTTTATATCTTTGTTTTTTCAGCCGAGGAAAGTATGGGACGAGAACGAGAGATTGCCTGCATGTATCATTCCCCGACCTCAGACCTCACTGAAATCAGATCCTTTGAAGGCCTACAAGAAATATGAGGTTTCTTGGAATCAGCATAGTGGTGAGACTAATATACTTTCGTCATTATAATAATTGAATAAAATAAAGTTCGGTTCGGCGAAAAATTCCTGGTTCAGTCGTTTCCTAGTATTGATAGGAATTAATAGTAAATAAATAGTAATTTAACAGTAAATTGTGACATGTTATAAATATTCACCTGCATAGTTGGTTACATAATGCTCCAAAAATAGCTCTGAAATATGAGTGACTTTAAATTCAGCTTTATTAATAATACCTCATAACTTGACAGGTTATTTCATAAATTTATTTAATATGATTTAGGTCACTCCCCACAAATTAAACAACACGCACTCCCCACAGTGCCAGGCCAGAAACGTCACTCAGCTCTTAGGAGTGCTATCAAGCGTCAGATGATGGAATGTGATCTCACTCCCTTCGTTCCTCAACAGAGAGACGTCTCCGTCAACAAATACCAGGTCAGTATCAGTACTCAGTAGATACGTTCTGTAGGCTGTGGGCGCTTGCCATGGCCCTGAAACAGCGTATGTACTATGTGACGACCCTGCATTGCTACTTCATCTCATTTTCCAAGCGAACAATTTATTGCTTGTAGACCGTGAGCACTAAGCGAGCTGCCACGGGCAGACGTGGGTCATCAAGTACACGCGGGCAGACACGTGGGCAGACACGTGGGCAAACACGTGGTCTAATCAGAACAGAGCATGAAATGAAAGTCGCTATCTCACCAGTCACCCGGTACATATTGAGCCCATTGTGAGACTGTGAGATTACATTGTTCGTGTTGACTCACGGCATAACATCTTTGCTGTTCACACCCATGAAATAACCATGAACAATCCAGGTACCAACCAGCAAGAAAAGAGAACGGCTAAGATGGGCAGTACGCAACCAGATGATGGGATAATATTTACACGTGGGATAAATATGTGCACGTGCGCGTGCAGCCTTATCTTCAGTCAAGCACAAGAATTATTTCGCTCTCTGGATTGTTTGTCCATCCAAGCTGCCACAACCCTAGGTTCATTTAATCAGAGTTATATTCACGATACAGCCTATTATGGCACACAGATGATTTGATTGGCTTTGTTTTCTTGCTGACGGGGGTGTTAGCTGTTTATCATCATGGGCCATTATTGATTGATGTTTTCCAGACTTTTATAAGACAGTTCACACTTGTGACTAATATTATTCACTGACAGCGACACAATTTTGTACCACATTTTTTGTATCACTATCATTGATACGTATATCTGCGGATCTTTATTGCTATATAAATATTAATATTACGCCAAATATTTACAAAATTGATTTGATTGACAACAGTTCCGCTTGTAAAGTTGTAACTAAGTAAATAAACATTTTATTTTATCCGGTAAACTTTTTTTAATTTTGTTTGTGGGATAAATATGTCTACAACTTAAAAAGAGAAACAATATTTTTTTCAAGAAATAAATCCCAGTGCATTCCGGCTACATTTTTTATGGCTCATGCTTAAGCTACTCATACCAATACATATAAAAGTTGCATCATTCAATGTATTCTTCTAGTCGCATGACAAGCTTGTTTCGGGTTACTGTTACGGTTAAATTTAATGTTATCGTAAGCTTCGAGATTACGCTTATTCATAATCATATTATGGGGGCTAGGGTTCCGGTAAGACAGTTTCTTCCGGTTACAAAACCGCGTAAAAACCCAACTCACGTGACTCAGTGACTGCGCTGTCGAGTGAATTAGTAATCGTCTTCAGCCGACATGCTTTGCCTTTAGAGGTTTACACATAGCTATTGTGTCAAAATTACACTAGCGTAATCATTCGGAACCGGGAACCCCCTGATTACGTAATATGTGAACGACCCCATACAGAATACAGAATATTAGACAGCGTTTTTCTAGCATGGAAAAATAAACCGTGCATTTATAATTTAGTATTTAGATATAATTGTTTGAGTTAGGGTAAAAGTTGTTTGGGTAGGTTAGAGGTCGAGTGATTGGGGTTAACTTTAAGTACTTATATAGTACTACGAGCGTGCTAGATCACTCTACAGTCGATCTTCGAGATTTTTCTAAAAGGCCCCCCCCCCCGACAGTTGATAGTTGAGACCAATTTTAATCGATGTATTTTCAGACACTCATGATTCCTTACCACCCCCATTCCGAATTACCCCGGCCCCCCACCTACCATGACATAGCTAGGAGTAGGGTTAAAATGCTCCCTTGGCGAGATATTGGCAAAAAACTGTCTCGATCACGTGATATGACCATATAAGGAAGTTGATCTAATTTCTCGTTAGGGTTCCGGCTAGGGTTTCAGCATATGCTTTAGTTAAAGATTGGGTTAGGGTTAGAGTTGGGATCAGATTAGAGGGCTAAGATTTCGAATAGTCATTCAGGGCCACCAAAAGAATTTGTTGAAAAAGTCACGTGACAGTCAAGTGTTATAGAGCGATTAATCATCATCCTAAGTACTAACTACTAATAGTAATATAAGGTTAAGTGATACTGATCTGATTAAGCTTAAAGTTATAGCTTATATTTAACAGGTGATACTGATGCTCTTAATATAAGAATCTATAATCTTAGAACATATTTTAAATTGTTTCCAGGCACTAAGAGTCTTAGTGCCTGGAAAAAAATGTTAAATCACAATGCTGGCAAGCATTACCGTCGCCCTTATATTCACAATACTATTTACCCCCTATACTAGTATATCCCCTTTATTGTTTTCCAGGCATTAAGACTCATCGAAAGTAGTTCAGCAGGTATATTTAAGTTCAAAACATTCTAATTCAATGTTAAAGATGACAGGAATAAGAAATAGTTATGTGGAGGTTTTTAAGAAATTTGAGCAAAATACGCGCCAGCATGTTATATTATTATTATTTATTTATTTATTTCTATTATATTGATGTATAGTCAAGACGTGAGTGTTAGGGCTCTCATTGACAAATTTATGTTTAATCCTGTTTGTTGTTTAATCCTGTTATACGAAATTAGGTAAAAAACCCAAAATCGCCATATTCAGGTGCCTTAAAAACCATGTTAAAATTGAGTTAGAGATCTGAAACTTTGCAGGGCGTCTAGACCTTGTCCAAATCGACTGTAAAAAAATTTCATGTTTCAGGAGTATCGGGAAGTGGGTTTTGTGGAACCCCTGTTTTACAACAGATTGTCGTGAAGCATCTCTACTATAATTCAGAGAATTCTTTCTGTATGTACGTACGACCGCCCACGTGCAAATTAGATGAAAAATAGGAATTTAGGTAACAACCAAAAGGTTCCATAGCAACGGTGTTTTAATGCACACATGCACGTGCAAAGATTATTTTAACGTCATTTTGATCGGTTTTGTGGTAATTACGTTGTGTTTAAAGTGTTTTATATTTAAATCGGCTGTATCTTCGGTTGAGATGGATATTTTTTGATGCGATTAAAATTTTCTTTTAAAGAATACTACTAGCTTCGTCCCTGTTACCACGGGCTTCTAGTATATATATATAATATATATATATATATATATAGACGCTTTGGCAGTCAATTGTAGCCTACATTTAAGTGTCCGTAGATTCAAAAGTATAAAAGATACAGTCATTTCGAACCACAGGTTTTGAAGATAATTGTTTATACTTTAGTTTAAATTATATCAAAAAATAATTTATCTTCATCATCATCACTTGATGACGTCATCAAACTAAGTGTTTTTAAAACTTGATTTTTGACAAAGTAACAACTTTTCAAATCGATTTTAAACCATTAAGGAGTAATTTTATTCAAAATCTGAGGACATTTTCATCTTAGATAATTGTTCAAGCATTCTGAAAATCAACCGGAAAAGTTTCTTACTTTACTCCTTCATAAAGATATTCGCTATTGAAGTAAGTGCTTTTTTGAAGAATAATTTTATAAAAACACAAAAGTTGTGAATTAGTATTCTCTGGTGTTGGGCCATCCCTTGGGTTGTGGAGCTCAATTTTGCTTCCTAAAGGTCTAAATTGTGTTATAGGCTGGTTTTAAAGTTGAAAATTAAAAAGTTGCACACGTGGGGACACGCCCAATTTGATAGAAAATTGCTAAAATTACTGAAAATTGCTGTTTTCACCATTTTTATCAACTTTGGAGTCCCGTTGTGATCCAAGTTCTATATGAAATCTTCTGAAACTTTGCATGCTTATTAAACTATATATAAAATACCACTATGCAAAAATTTATGGTGATTCAATATTGTATGCGCACGCAACGTCCGCTCAAAGTTTGCATGTGCGAAAGGTGAGAATTTTGCTCATTCGTGATTTCGAATATATTCTGCTTTCCCACGATATTTAAATGGCATTATATATGAATTAAATGCCAACTTGAATGAGTAAAAAGTGCCATATTCAGTCTGTTATCGACAGATAAACCTACCTGAACACAAGGAAACGTTTTCAAAGGTGAAATTTCAAAATTGTTGAAATTACCTCCTTATTAATGAATTTTCGACTGTGTAAATTATCCTGACATTATAATCAAAAAGAGATGATATTTGACCAAAACCCATAATCATGGGTAGAGTGAACCGCTGCCAGTGTCTCTCTTTTTCAAACAAAAGGAAATGATATTAATTTGAGGAACCGTCCGCAAATGCAAATTGATACCGAGAATGAAATCGGTCGCTCGCTTTTCCCATTCATTCACGGCTTACGAATTGTAATAAAGCTTATTGAATGGGAAAAGCGAGCGACCGATTTCATTCTCGGTATCAATTTGCATTTGCGGACGGTTCCTCAAATTAATATCATTTCCTTTTGTTTGAAAAAGAGAGACACTGGCAGCGGTTCACTCTACCCATGATTATGGGTTTTGGTCAAATATGTTATAAGATTAAGAGCATCACCCGTTAAGCTTAAAATTAATCAGATCAGTAAGACGGTCTTAGTGCCTGGAAAAATGTATTATAAGAGCATCACCCGTTAAGACCGTCGACAAGTCCAACTCGGCGCGCGCCTCAGTTATTTAGTTATTAACGTATAAAGATATAAACAGATAAAGTCAGAATATTTAGTTTAAGAGGTGTTGATTCATGCAGCTGTGCAACTGACGTACGTGCAATGTGCATAAACATGCATTTACGTTAGTCACGAGCTGACAGCGCCGGCTGTACTTTCATTAATAGTGACATCAATTAATCATTCTCCTACGGCACAATAATCGTGGTCCTATTCAAAATTATTTCCAAAGTGGCCTCGCCACTTCGCAGCATCATGCTCGAGAGAGGGCCACACGACAACCGACGCATCAAAGCCAATTTAATGGCGAGTAAAGCAATTTATTAATCACAATTCTTCCCAATGCATATTCAATATTTGTTAGACTATTATGACTATACTTGCACTATGGCCATGGCACATGGGTTTGAGCGACAAGGCTACGCCGCGCGTACGAATTTATTCATATTGTTTATAATTTTATTAGCATTAGATTGTTAGCAGAACTGCAAGCTCTAATCTTCGTTATAACGATGTACTACTTATATAAAGACAATCGAAAAAGATAAATAACCACTCCGTATTTTAAAGTAAAACTAAAACTTTACCATTTACATACTTATATGATGTACATTGTACAGTTACAATGTACAGTTATTTTATTGAGTTCAACTTCATCCTCACTTACATCATGTCATCCACATTTCACTTTACTTGCAGTGATTAGCTTATGGACGGCAATATTTGTACGGGATTTCCCCTTACCAGGCGCCTGGCTCACATTCGTTTCACATAGACCAGGAAGCATTGACATGAGCAGACTGAGATGTTCCATGAACGCAACTTTTATACAAAGTCATAATAACAATTTAAACTAAGACAGTTACGTAATTTGAAAGTTCTAGAACTATTATGGTCGATCTAACTCTGACAATTACAAAGAAACAAAATGTGGTCGCCCACAAACTGAAACTAGAGAGATTGGGATTGATAACATGAGTGTACTGCGTAGTAGTCATTTAATTACCAACAACAAATCACATGAAGTTAAACCAAAAGTAATGTTAATTAAATTTCATAATAATCAAGCTATGCACTACACTCTAACATACGCGCTTTTAAATTTTAGCCAAATATTGGAATCTTTAAGTTGTATCCCTGATATTAAAAACATCCATCAGGACTCAGGATTCAGGACCTCCCAAACTTTCGAACTGCGGTGTAACCCACTGTCTAGCAGAGAAGTAATAATTATGAAATTAGTATGAAAATATAATTAAACCCAAAATTTACGAAATTTCACCTCCAAATTGTTCTCTTATCTGTCAGATTCCAATTTAACAAGCAATTTTGATTAACCACAATCATCTTGGCATATTTTTACAAATCTTAAAAATCAAACAATCGTGACTTTAGAATGTTCATGAAAGTTAAAACAGGTTACCGTACTCATTATTATTACCTAACTAAATATCAAAGGCTATAGTCTGACAGAAGGTTACCGTGTACTCATTATTATTACCTAACTAAATATCAAAGGCTATAGTCTGACAGAAGTTAATTTATACGGTTGATTTTGAAAGTCACCATCTCCCGAAACATAATCACTATCATATTATAATGAACAGTATCTGAATTCTTTGCGTGTATTTCTAGATGGTGTTGCCATTATTGCCACTATTGGCACTCGCCACTCAAATATTCCGAGCCAGTTAATCTCGATGCAAATAAATTGGAATCGTTCCAAATCATTCATCATCAGGACTTAAGGATCATCTTCGTTGGAAACAGCCTCACGTTTTCTCTAGATTCCCATCCGTTCCATTTTCTCCTCTTTTGCTCTGCGACTATGACACAGCTGCGGAAAAATATCATCAAAATATTCACGATTTGTTAGGAATCCAGAATTATCCAGAAATAATCGTCGCTTTATGTGGTCGATAGTATTTGAAATTATAAGACTGAATCACACGTGTGTGCGACATTTTCCGAGTAATTTAAATACTATCGAACCATGAATTTTATAGTTGCAAAGTTTTCCGTTTAAGAATCAGCCTTACCGTTTTTTTCGGAATGTATGTTTTGAGGAATTCGTCTATCGCAATGTCACCGTTCAGGAAATTCTCCGCTATAGCCTGAAATAAGGTTTTGTTTGATTGATAAATGATAATGCGATATGAAAAGGTATGAAGGACGGAGGTATTCATCTGTTGAATTTCTAAGATGCTTTTAGATTTCGTTTCTAGTGATTGTTTTTCATACATCCTTTAGACTGATGTTCGATGAGTCAGCAATGTTTCTCTGCTAAAATAATTGCTCTTTTGTTTACTTTTGTCGGTGTTAATTTATTACATTGTCTGTTTGATTAACTTTAATTAGCAGGACTACCGATTTTATTTTAATCTTCCGGAGAAACTATCCTGAGGTGATTGTTTCATTGTGTTCCGTCTAGACATGCCACAATCAGACGTCTAAAGTTTGATCTTATCTAACTTCTCCAACCACCGGAAGGATTTGTTCAACAATTCGAGATGGAATAATCAATTTATAAAATGCTTTCAAATTTAGTTTCAGTTGATTGTTGGCATATTTCTTATACTTATAATAGACGAACGAGTCGGCTGTGTTTCCTTATTAAAACAATTGCTTATTTGTTTACATTTCTTCGGGGTTAATTTTTCTTATTGTTTAATGATTAAGTTCAATAAGCAGTCTCAGCGATGTAAATTTGTCCTCCGAAAAATCCATTCTTAGGTACCTGTTTCATTGTGTGCCCCTAGAAATTTAGACAAAGGTTTTGATTTTTCAGATATTGTCTGAATTTCGATCACACATAATGTCTGCTTCTACCAGAACTTAGGTCTTGTTCGAAGAATGATTTTAAGAAGAAATGCATTCCTAAGACACATTACGATAAGATGATCATTAAGATTTTTCCGACATTGTCTAAATTGAGATCGAATTTGAATAAGAAAAAGGAATGCATCGCCAATCGACATTGTGTAATAGGATTTAGGAATTGCATTCTGTTGAAAATTATAAATGTTACAGTTTGGACTATCAACATATTATCTCGGAAATAGTTAATCGAAATAGTTAACATTTAACAGTAATATAATGAAACATATTTCAACCAATAATAAAAACAGGTTTGACTGAGCCTGTTGCATTTTTTATTGCCGAAGCCCTCAAACAGTTGTAAAAGTGGATCTGATGGGCACAACTAGCTTGAGCATATTTGTTTTCAAAGAACACACTGTAAAAATTCGTTTTTCCCGTTAGGAAGGCACTCAGGAGCTGAATGAGGGAGATAATTATAGATTAGGAAATCGATGGTATTTTTGGTCAATTTTTCTAATTTTTGTTTGAAATATATAAAAGGCTTCTGGATAAGTCCAATATAGTATTAGCCGCAACATGCCAACATAGTCAGGGGGCAGCAAGTACATTTATATACATCTTATAAAACAACAATATTATGCCCTTAAATGCTTATTCTTCGAGTTGTGGTCAAAATAATAGAGACGAAAAGGACAATTTGTGACGTCAAAGTAGCTCCTGAGTGCCTTCCTAATAGCGGAAGCAAATTTTAAATGTTTTTTTTTCTTGGGAGAGTGGAAAATATGCTTTAGCTAATTGTTGGAGCAACATAGTAGTAGTAATTGCGCCCATCACATTTATTTGTACAACTCTTTGGGTTGGTACTATGGACAACACATTCCTGCACAAAATGCTCGTGGCAAATTAGTTCTCAGAAAATGCTCATAATGCCCTAACATATTAAGCAATACGGGGATTTTAACCCAATTCTAAATCGACTTTATCTTGGATAAATAAACAGTATCGACAGTTACTGACGGCACCAAAACACCAAGGTTGCACCTTTCTTTACTAAACTCAAGTCCGCTCCTAATAACAGAGGACTGGACCGCTGAATCTGCCCTTCTCCCCAGTTTCCCCCCGCAGAAATTCCTAGCATATCTCTGGGTTATAGGATGAGTTATAACGTATACCAGAGGATTAATGATACCGTTTGTGTAGTAAACCGTGACAGTAAGTATCTGTGAAACCTCGTAGGTAAGTGGAACATTCCACGTGTTAGCTATCACTGTGGGAGAGTAGGAGAGGAGACTGGTGACTATGATCCCAGTGGATGTCATCAGGAACCATCCACATCTCCTTCTCTTTCTGATGATGATGAACAGCATCATCCCGTACATCAGGACGACCAGGAGAAATGGAACGGCGAGGAAACATACTTGCTCAATGTATGAATCACGTCCTGATATCACACATCTGTGGTATTTCTCGTAGTACAAGATGGTGATGGCTCCTGTGATGTACGCCACTGTATCATAGATCAGGAGACCAAGAAGAGGGGTCCAGTTGGCTGCAAACATGTACAGACATGCTCTCTTGGTTATAATGTACCTGTGTCGGAGGGGTAACATGATAGCGATAGCTCTGTCAATAGTGAGAGGGAGGAGGGCTAACATACCCGAGTTAACGAAGGTGTTGAGTGAGATTGTGTAGACTACACAGAACGGGGTGGTCCTGTTATCCGGTGCTCCTATATACTTGCTGTTTATTATCCCTAGTCCTCTGAATAACCCTATGGTAGAGACTAGGATGTCGCTCATAGCCACGTTGATGATGAGGAGGTTTTGGCAGTTTGCCAGTTTTATTCGCCGCAGGAGAAGGAAGTAGGCGACGGAACTGCTGAAGAGGATGCCCAGGACACCTATAACCACCAGTATGGAACCCTGGGTGATTTGGGTGATAATATTAACGCTTATCAAAGATCTTAGTGCTAATCTTTGAATCAGTTTTAATGATATACATCTAGTGAAAATAAGGGAAACGATTGGAACTACACATAGGTTTCTCGAAATAGCTCAAAAGTATGCTGTCAACTAGTTATGATTTAAGATTGATTAATTTAATTAAAATCCTATCAAAATCACTTACATTGACAATTCTGAAGGGACAAGCTGGTTGGTTCTGTGTTACACAGGTATGATTCCCAATAAAGTAACCCATAACGTATTCTTAGTTCACTTAATCACGTCTCATCATACTTGCAAAATAAAATGGAAGTAATATAACTAAGTTTTCGAGATGTACAAAGCACAGCTCCACAAATTGCAATGTACCCGTTAGTCGTCATATAAAGTTTTTTCAGGGTTGCCATACCCTAGAAGCAAGCAGAGCACCCTCATGCTATCCTCTCGTGGACCAGCTAGGTCTCCTAAAATAAAAAGCATATAAAGTTTAACGATCGCATGGGAGTCACAAAACTACAAAATACAAGTTATTTACAGACACAACCGCAAAAGACCATTAAATAAACTCCAAAGACTGTCAATATATCCCATGACGCCGGCTCCCGATAGCATAAAATAGCAATTACTACATTCCGTTAAAAAGGTCCAATGTCTATCTAATATATAATAATTCTATAGATGGAGGTGTGTTTGCGGGCCTATAGAATATTTATAGGCCCGCAAACACCCTCTTATCTTACCACTTATCTTGTTAGTGACGCCTGTGCTTTTATACAACAATGTAGCGCGGTAGCGCACAACATTTACTTCATATAGGAAAAAGGTGTAAAGTAAACTATTAAACTTATTACCAGTACCATTCACGGTAAACAGGTGCCGATGACTCGCAAAGCAGTCGCCGATGTTAAAGGGCCCTGTACACTATATAACAAGAAGGATGGAAGTTTGTTTCTTTTAATAACAGGTGTAACCAGTGTGTGTGGGTATTGTGTTCAGTAGTTTAAACAATGTTCAATAAAATAGAGCATTATTTAAGTCTGATATGGTGCCAAATATACAGTAAACGACCGGGGGTAGGATTTGGCCGGGGCCGGGGCCGGGAATGTCCAAATTTTGCCAGGGCCGGGAATTGGCCGTTCTGGAATTTGGCCGGGGCCGTGGCCGTGAATTTAATAAATCCACGGCCAAGTTAGAACTTTTCAGTTGAAAGTTGGCACTCTGGACATCATCCTTTCAAAATTGAAAATCCATTTTAAGATTTATATGAAAGTTTTAGGCCGATTTCGATCAAAAATTCCCGGCTAAATTCCCGGCAAAAATTGAAAATCGGCCGGGGCCGGGAAGAAATAGCTCCCCCGGTGCCGGGATTTCACGGCGCCGGGAATCCCGGTCGATTACTGCAAATATAATCCACTTTGAGGTGGCAAGCCACTGAAATGGAGTAAATTTGTATAGTTTCAGCCATATTTCCCGCTATTTCAGACTATTAACTTGTTCAACAATGGGATCGCTTCCAACACTAATTACACAAGAGAATCAGAGCCGTGGATATGACATCCCTGATAAATCATTAGACCCATTCAATAGATTCGATTACGCGACCAAGGTCTACAAGTAGGCCTGGTTATAAAGAGCGGTGTCAAATTATTAGTAATCAAGCCACGGCTGAAAACCGCTTTTGAGTCTCCCTCTTCAAGACAATGATATCACTTCTCAAGCTCCTGTTACGGTAAAATTAGATTTACGATAAGACCGCTATTTTAGAATATCAGTGATACCTGGCTTGCACGGTTTAGACCGAATTATAACTGACCAGGGGTCTCAGCTAATTAGATCGAAATGACATAACGTTTAAATTATCAGTAATAATATTACAAATAAGTAGTAATATTAGCAATTTACTGTCAAATCATTTTCTCGCTATCTAAAACACTGTATTGGAAAATGTTATCAACCAGATATTAACGTCGGACATGTTCGGACCTCTTGAAATAAAATCTATACAAAATTAACGATAATACATTGACCAAACTTTCATAATCAAAACGATGGGCACCTTTGTTTGGCAAAAAGAAGGCATTTCGGCTCTATATTATGTTAACTTCAATGAGAATGGAGGACGTTTGGTTACTCTGAACGACAAATGCTCAAAGGACTTGCATTAATCCTATAATATTATTAAAAATGAAAACCACCTTACATGCCGAAGGAAACGACTACGTTTACACAAATTTGTTTGATCGTTTGTAAGAAGGAGGCTGACTTTCTCCCTAGACAGCTAAATTAAAATGCGGCGAAAGACAACTGAAATCCAAAAATGAGTAACAATGATTTCGAAGCTGTTGTATTTT